AAGAACTTTAAACAATCATTTCGTAGCGTGCTATAGCAGGATTTTTTTTCCCCTCTGGGTTTGTCTGTGTTGCTATAAACAGACATGTGCGGCGGTATTAGCAGGTTGCTTGATCCGGAGCATCAAGGGCAGTGGTTAGCACTAGAGGCCTCGGAGGTCACGGCTGCGGAGGGACGTGGCTGGCATGGACTTATGAGCAAGCGGCCTCCATTTGGCTAGCTTGCATAACTGCTAAGACTGTAAACTGGTTCTGTTAGGTAATGCAAGCCGACAGAAGGGCTGGCAGGGAAACGGTTTTGACCTTTAATGTCAATACAGAGGCATAGCTGGACGTGTGTGGTAAAAAATAAATAAATAAATAAATAAATATATAACATGGAGATTCAGTGAGTGAGAGCTGCGTGTGACTGATTGGACTTCATCAGGTTAGGCGGTTCGGTCCTAAAGAGAATCAAAGTTTTAATCATTGTTTTACCATTGCTTTTAGTAAAGCAATGGTAAAAATAAAAAATGACCCCTTTACTGGTTTAATTTAAGTATTAAATTCAATCTTTTGTTTGGGTTAAGTAGGTACAAAGAATGAAAAAAAATCTTGAAACATTTATTTTTGCTTCTTTTTAAAAAGAAACAACAAAAAATAGATTTGTTTGTGGTTTGCAAGTATTATGAACTTAGAAAATTTTAGAGGTAGCAAAACATTTCCCACTGATGATCACCTTCCAGCAGGTCAACACTAACCATACAACCAGTGCCAGAATGGCCCAATTAAAGTCCGGAGCTAAACTCATCTGAATCTATGGGAAAATGAAAAGGCTCTCCATCCAGTCTGACTGATCCTGAGCGTTAAAAATTAGCTACACAGTTCATGGTACAACCTGATCCCACAGTCTTCCAGTTGTCTGTTGGCTAACTTGGCATTGGGGTCAAATAAGGATTATGTTCCAGAGGCTTTTGCAACTTCCTAAGCAGAAATGCATAAACGCCGGATGCAAGCGTGCAGAAATTTATTGTGAATCGTCAAAACTAAGTCAGGATTACTGACATAACAGGATTACTGCGTAGTAAGCCAGGTGGGAACAAATCGTCAGCTCTCTTTAAGTCCTGTTCGGTTTAGAAGCTCTTTTCCTTCCCGGCTGTCGACCTTATCACTTTCAGAGACAGGGACTTCCTTCCTGCAGGACAAGCTTTTCTCTTACATTAAACAGCTTGACAAAAGTTACTCTGAGCATCAAACTCAAACCCAAGCACTGACTAATAACACTGAAGGAAACAGCTGTAGACAGGCAACTTAATGTCCGACCTCAGCAGCTTGTGTGGTCCATAAAGACAGACGTTAGGGTGAGATTAAAGCCTCACCCTGCTAAGCAGGAGCCCTGTGTCGGTGAGGCCCTGAAGAGAACAGTGCTGGACCAATCACAGGCAGGGGAAGGGTGCCTTTGTCCTTCTATTAAAGTCAAATAAACTAGGGACAACCCCAGACCGAGGCCGCCATCTGGTGCTGAGAGAGAGAACTGCATGCTTCCTCAGTTCAGGAATGTGCTGGACTTCATTCAACAAGTTTATGCTTAAGAAAATAAAAAGAAAGAAAAAGAGAAAGAAGTTAGGCTTCAGTTTCACTTAACTTTAAAATAAAGGCATATGCATCCTGGTTAATGCATGTGTAGTGTAAAAAAAGCAACAAATGAACTGGGTATTTTCTACTCATATTTCACACTGTGTAATTTTTTTTTCTGGTGTATTTGTTTTTAAGGTTTTGCCAGCATTAGTGTCCTTTATTTTGACTGTAATCTGACAGGAAGGTGGGCTACAGGAAAGACATGCGGCAAAAGAACCGAGGGCCAGAAGCGAACTTGGGACGACTGCGTACCCACTCTATCCACTGCGATTTACTGCCTCCCCCCGCCCCCAATTTCACCAATTATCTGCCACACTAAGCAAAAGTTGATGTTGGGGCCCTCTATATCTGCTATTAATGTGGATTGCTGCAAATCAACAGACGATTAGATCAGTCGCACAGCTGCCGTAAACTCATTGCATCTTTGAATAATGTTATATCTTAAATACATATCTAGTGGCAAAAAGTTAAGAAAAAAAAAAAAACTAGTATGCTCTGGACTTAAGACGGAGTTTATCTTCGGTGTAATTCCAGTGACAAAACATTAACTTCATACCAGGTGAGTCTTTCACCTGAGAGTGGAACCTTTACTGGGCCGATTCTGTGCCTTCAAATAATTTTCACAATGTTCCTGTAGAAGATTTATAAATTATAACTTATAAGTCAGAAACAGAAATAGGTCTTGAAAAACCCTGTGCACTCCTTTCAAGAGATTCCTTGGATGTATCTCAGCGTGATGTCATCACTGCTTATGTCATTGTTACCATAGGAACTGAACATTCTAATGATGCATTCACATCGAATACGTTTTGAGCGTCAGGCGAGTCTCTGGTTTGCATTCAAAGTCTTTGTGGAATGTTGGACGCCATGGACTCACTCAATGCGTCAAACGCTCCAAAGCGCCACATCGGCCCTCGATGTGTCTCCACATAGACTTTGAATGTACACCATATGACGGTGAAAATGTGTTTGGTGTGAACGCACCATAATATGTCCAGTGTCATATTATGTCCATCATATTAGGACCAAAGCCTGGTCCTAATATGATGACTCATTGCTTTGGGCCAGGGGAAACATTTAGAGGTAAGATGTGAATTAAGTTTTAGCTAATGTTAGGGTTAGGCAAAATCGCAGCTACTAAAATAAAGGGAAATCAATGCAAAGTTCTAATACGGGTCCAAATAGTTTTGACAAACCAGTGTAGCATTTTGTTTTCTAAGTCATTCAATAAATAATGATACAATGTTAGGTTGTTTTTCTGCCAATTGCATAACTGCAGTACATTAATAGTCTAATGTGTTGAATGTGCTGAGACACATTCAACACATTAGAAACCAATCGGAACCAAACGTTCATCTTTTGGTTCTGATTGGTTGTTTCTGGACAGCAGCAGAGCCAGAGGATTGTTCACAGATTCTGTTTCATATTCGACTGTCAGACACTTTTTACAAATATTCATCCATCCATCCTAACACACATTGCACACACACATTCACACCTTAGGGCAAATCAGAGACCAATTAAACAATTTTCGAGAAATTTTACTTGCTGCTACTTTCATTCAGGAAAGTTTTAACAATGTTATTCTGTTTTTAACTCTGAAACTGATCTTGTGTTTCTCCATTGATTTTGGAGTCAGGAATTTTATTTGCATTGAGGCCTGTATCTGTTTTGATTTTCTAAATTTGTGTAAAGCCTCAAATTTTCCTAATGGCCAGTGTTGGCAAAACCTGGGTTTACATAGTTTACCAGGTTAGTAAAGGCCGAACGGGGCATAGATTGGCCTTCATGCCAACGCCAACATGAAGGCCATCCCTGCAACCAGTGGAGGTTTGTCTTTCTTCAGACCTCCATGTTTAAGTGGAGGTACATCTTTCATTGGACCTCCCCGTTTGACTGGAGGTCCATCTGTCCTCGGACCTCCCTGGTTGAGTTGAGGTCCGTCTTTCCTCCGGCCTCTGAGGTTGATTCCAGGTCTGCCATTGTGTGCACTCCTCTGGTTGCAGGGGAACCTCTGGTTGGGAGAAGACTCTATGATGGTTGTTTTCCAGAGCAAGTTTCAACTGCAACTTCAGCTCTGCAACTTGACCCTGGAGAGATTTCACTGTTCCTTCCTGTTCTTTAAATTTGTTCACATTGATTTTTGATCTGCTCCTCATATTTCAGCCTCACTCGATATTCCTCAATCATCACTTCTATCAAACCTTTATTGCGGGAGGCATATTTTTCTGCCTCCCTTTTAAAGTAATCCACCAGCTGAAGAAGGCTCTTGTCGGCTGTAACTTTGGCAGAGGATGAAACCTTCGAGCCACCTGTGGTCTCTGGCACGTTTCTTCCATGGTCACGTTTAACTTGCAGGTGACGTTCTTTCTCCAACATCTTTTGGAGTTTTTGAATTTCCTCCTGCAGTGATTTGACTTCAGCCTCCTTCGCAAGCCTTCAGTCTCTTTCCTCGTGGAGTTCACACGTCTTGTTCTGCAATTCTGTATTGAGATTGTCTACCTGGTTTGTGAGATCTGACGTGTTGGCTCATTTCTTCCACGTCTTCCGCTTGATCTCAAGGGGGAGCAGAGAGGGAGATGTTTCCTGCTCGACTTTCAGTGATCTTAGACTCTCAACGTCGTCAGAATGACTTGGTTCCCCCTGAATCTCTGATGATTCGTCTTCCCACTCAGTGGAGCTGTCATCTTCATCGTCAAAAATAAGGATAGCGTGGTAGTCAACTTGGACGTTGAGTGCCATCATCTCATTCCATGAAAACTCAGTTGGAATAGCTTCATGTTCGCAAGTGGTCTGAAAAAAAAACCTCATAAATATACAGAGCCAAACTCGCGAATCAACTCAAACCCAGTTTCACACAAATACAAGAAGCTAGCATAAATGTTTGGCTACGTCGCTATCGAGCTAATTTTGTTTTAGCTAATTTTCTTCACTCTTCTACCAAGAGACATGAACATACCTTTACCTTGGCTTTTTTTTATTATTCTTCAGAGACAGAGAAAAAGAAGTTATTTTTTGCGACATTGGTTTGCTTGCTTATTTTCCGTCGGTGCTTTGGAGGTTTGAAAACGCACCGAACGGCAGCCGCTCAAATCACCGAAACGTTACCGACCGCGGCCACCAGGGGGAGCCCAAGAACAAGTTATTTTTGTTCTAATCTAGCCCTTAGTAGATTGATTTCTACACGATGAGCGATATATTGATGTGAACTAAAAGCACAATGTTGTAATTAAATTACTAAAAATAAATCAGTAAATAAAATCTGTTCCACTTGGGGTAAAAATCAGCTTTGGGTCCCAGGGCTTAGTTTGCCGGCCCCTACCTGGATGCACATTAACACACACACACACACACTAGACAAAAACAATGACAAGATGCAACCAAAGATGTTGACAAAAGTTGCTTTAATTAATTGTTAAAAACAGGCAACGCTAGAGATGCTGCCGAGGTTTAAGATGATGCATTTACTGCAGATTTGGGGAAAAAAACAAAACAAACACTGCTCTCCTGTCAGAGTTACCTAAAAGCAGAATTCAGCGATGACAAATGTGTGGAAAGAGTCTGTGAAGGGAGTCGACTGCCCCGTCGTTGAGTAGAAGTTCAAATTTAACTGATTGCAAAAGGACAGAGCATGTGTGTGTAGCTTTCACTCCCCTCAGAGACGTGGTGCATAGCTGAGGAAATCCTCAGGTTACAACTCAATAAAATCCAAACCATCTATAAGTCTCATATATATATAATCATATATATTCAATGTACAAAGATACATTCTCAATCGCAGAGGTTCATCCATCAAAAATAAATACTGAAATGGCGAGATTGAAATATTTATGTATAGATATATATAAATCTTTTCTCGTGGAGAGAAGACGCAAATACACACAGTTGCATAAAGAGATAACAAAAACAGAAAGCATGACTACAGTGTTCACGGAGGACAGAAAGAGGCTGATATTCAACAAATAAAACCTTTTAGCCACACTCAAAGAAGAAATAAAAATCTGAGAAACAAAAGGACATTTGAATTAATAAGCAGGTTTGGTTGAAAGCAAGCAGGTCAGTGTTGCAAAACCAGACGGGTTAAAGTTCGGCTTCTCATCTGGGGACAGAACGAGCGTCCAGCTCTCTCTCGCTCGCATGTTCACGACTCGCACGCCTTCAAAATATTTCCATTTACAAACAGGAAAAGTTCAAAAATATATAGATACACCTATCTGAATATATCAACACACTCTGATTTCTGTTAGAAAAAACAATAAAACCTGGCTTCCTTTTGCAAACACGCTGCTGTGAAAGCTAAGCGAGACTTTGATCACTGCGTGACGTCATAGCTAGCTAGCAGTCTTTGGTAGAGAATAAAATTCTTTAGAGAAAAATAGAGAAACTCTGTCACAGGCTGTTTGAACTCTGATGTCTAAGGCAACTCTTAAAGTGTGCGCTGGGAGCAGAAAACAGGCAAAGTGATGCGACTCGGTCAACACAAGCATGCGCTGTGAAATAATCGGAAAGCATCACGTGTTATCATGGCGGTAAAGAAGCTGGGGTATTCAGCAAGATTGGAGACAACAGTACGAATTCGTGATTAGACCGGCGAACTTGATGTCAGCATGTCATCTGCAAACGATGACACCTTCTTATTACCTTTAGTGTTATTGCGCGTCTTCCCAACTTCAGCAGAGCGGCCAGATCTCAGCAAAAAGCCCGGAAAAAATATGTAACTGTATATAAAACATAGCTGGGATAAATGCTGTCCAGTGTCAATGCTAATGGTATGACTCCATGTAGAACCAACTCGACAGTCCGAGGCAGAAATGGAGCCTAACCTCAAATTTATGTTTAAGATTTTTTGTACTTTCATTCCCAAAACAAAAAACAACAACAACAAAAAAAGTCACTTATCGAGACCTACAGTGAAATTCAAATCTTTGGCCTGGTGCAGGCACTTCAGGGAAAGTTTAATGTTAATTTCTGGGATTATACACATTGACAATTTTTTAAGTTTCTCAGCTAAACTTAAGAAGTTCTTAGCCATCGTGATAAAACACCTGCATGTTTACCACGAGGATCGCTGGGGTTTGGGAACTGCTACAAAATAAATAGATTGAAACATGTTGGTTCTTTTATGATCCAGATGTGTAACAGTATCTGACGGTGACTCACCCGCTCCCACTTGTAATACCGACAGAAGACAATCGTGTTATTTTATTAAATTCACATAGCAACAACCCACATCTGTATTGTGGGCAAAAGAAAAACAACTGAAATGAGCTTTTTGTGCTTCATAAACACTGTTGTGTGTGTTTTTTTTTGTTAAATGAATAGGGATTTGAGGCACAAACCGGGCCATTTGAAATACATGATGAAAAACATTCCTATTAAGCCTTTAGACATGAGATGAACGTGAGTATTGGAGTCGAACACCATTGAAATATGTGTCAGCTATTGGCTTTCAAAGACGTTCTCCACGTTAAAAAAACCAACAAAAAAAAAAAGAACCATAATCGGCGAAGTTTCAGAGAAAAACAATCCCGCCATGATTGACTCCCGCGTCGCTCGCTACGTCTTACATTCTTCAGAGGACGAACAGGAAGCTGTTTTCCTCCCTCTGATCAGCTGACGGAACATCAGCAGTGTCCCGATTGAGCGCAGCTAAGGGGATTCAACCGGAAACCTGGCAAACATCCGCCTCACCTCGAATAAAATTTTAATCCGCGAGGCAATAATATATGATGCTTGAAATTCATGACATCAAAAAAAAAAAAAAATAGGACAAAGCAGTTCCATGTGTTCAAGGTTAACAGAGAAAAATGCTCGCAGTGCAGTTTTCGCACGTTTTGCTTCCTTTGTCCGAAACCGAGGGAGTGAAATAAAAAAAAACAAGTGCTGATTAATCTTGTGCTTTCTCCTCTGTTTCTGTGACACAAAGGGGGCAAATTAGGGATTCAGTGATGCTGAGTTCAGTCTTCACCGACCATGACCTGCCAGACGATGAGATGGCTGCGCTCGGCTTTTGTGAGGAAGGACTGCAGTTTTAAGGCGGGGTCGTCCAGCTCGTCTGCCTCCCCGTCCTCATCACCTGCGGAGAGACGGGAACGTGTTCGCCGCAGTGTCGCAGAATGCGCCTTTTGTTCCTGCCGCGGCACAGAGACTCACCCATTCTGAAGTCGATGTAGCCTTCTCCTCCACTCATCACCAACATGGACCTGCTTCCTTCCTGAGCCGAGACATCGGCGGGTTTGTCTGCCGTTGACTCTCCTCCGATGGACGTCGATGGATCTGCGTGACCTGACGGCACAACAACAACAAAAAAAAAAGCAATTAAAACCTTCAACAGCTGCATTTCCATAACAAAACTGTGAAAAACTTTGTCAATATTCCACTATTTGCAAAAACAGGTGCACAATTATACAGCAGTAGATAAGTTTTTGTTGTAATTTCATCATTTGGTCAAGTCAATAGCATTTAGTCTCTGGTATGGTATGTCATTACTTTGATGAGTTTCTTTTACCTTGATTTGACAAAATAAAGGCATATGCATCCTGGTTAATGCATGTGTAGTGTAAAAACCCTCCCCCCAAAAAACGAATGAACAGTTTATTTTCTACTCATATTTCACACTGTGTAATTTTTTTTTCTGGTGTATTTGTTTTTAAGGATTTGCCAGCATTAGTGTCCTTTATTTTGACTGTAATCTGACAGGAAGGTGGGCTACAGGAAAGACATGCGGCAAAAGAACCGAGGGCCAGAGGCGAACTTAGGACGACCGCGTTGCCCAGTCTATCCACTGCGATTTACTGCCTTTCCCCCCCAATTTCACCAATTATCTGCCAACTCCTCACACTATACTAGTGTTGTGCAAAAGTGTTCCCAGCCTTAATTATTTTCCATGTCTTGTCATGCTACTACAACAATCTTCAATGAGTTGAAGATTGTTGTCAGTCAGGATTGTTCCTGACTGCTTTTAGATAGTGACCCAGGTTAGTAAAGGCCGAACAGAGCATAGATTGGCCTTCATGCCAAGGCCAACATGAAGGCCATCCCTGCAACCAGTGGAGGTTTGTCTTTCTTCAGACCTCCCCGTTTGACTGGAGGTCCATCTGTCCTCGGACCTCCCTGGTTGAGTTGAGGTCCGTCTTTCCTCAGGCCTCTGTGGTTGATTCCAGGTCTGCCATTGTGTGGATTCCTCTGGTTGGGAGAAGACTCTATGATGGTTGTTTTCCAGAGCAAGTTTCAACTCAACTTCAGCTCTGCAACTTAACCCTGGAGAGATTTCACTGTTCCTTCCTGTTCTTTAAATTTGGAAATTTGTTCAGATTGATTTTTGATCTGCTCCTCATATTTCAGCCTCACTAGATATTCCTCAATCATCACTTCTATCAAACCTTTATTGCGGGAGGCATATTTTTCTGCCTCCCTTTTAAAGTAATCCACCAGCTGAAGAAGGCTCTTGTCGGCTGTAACTTTGGCAGAGGATGAAACCTTCGAGCCACCTGTGGTCGCAGGCACGTTTCTTCCATGGTCACGTGTAGGTGACGTTCTTTCTCCAACATCTTTTGGAGTTTTTGAATTTCCTCCTGCAGTGATTTGACTTCAGCCTCCTTCGCGATCCTTTGGTCTCTTTCCTCGTGGAGTTCACACGTCTTGTTCTGCAATTCTGTATTGAGATTGTCTACCTGGTTTGTGAGATCTGACGTGTTGGCTCATTTCTTCCACGTCTTCCGCTAAGGGGGTGATCTCAAGGCCAGCAGAGGGAGATGTTTCCTGCTCGACTTTCAGTGATCTTAGACTCTCAACGTCGTCAGAATGACTTGGTTCCCCCTGAATCTCTGATGATTCGTCTTCCCACTCAGTGGAGCTGTCATCTTCATCGTCAAAAATAAGGATAGCGTGGTAGTCAACTTGGACGTTGAGTGCCATCATCTCATTCCATGAAAACTCAGTTGGAATAGCTTCATGCTCACAAGTGGTCTGTTGTTGCTTCATCTCTATATTTTGGTAAGTTCTTCTCTGAAAGGCTGGTAATATTCGGAATCGATTAATCTCGAATGTGCTCTGAAGAGTGATCTGTCGCAATAGAACTGTGGAACAGGTCTGAGGAAACTCTGTCTCTGAGCTACATTCAAGAGAGAGATTCCTTTGTGGCATCACTGAGCCAAACTCACGAATCAACTCAAACCCAGTTTCACACAAATACAAGAAGCTAGCATAAATGTTTGGCTACGTCGCTATTAAGCCAATTTTCTTCCCTCTTCTACCGAGAGACATGAACATACCTTTATCTTGGCTTTTTTTTAATATTCTTTTTATTTTCTGCCGGTGCTTTGGAGGTTTGAAAACGCATCGAACAGCAGGGCGCTCAAATCGACGCTGAAACGTTACCGACCGCGTCCGCCAGGGGGAGCCCAAGTACAAGTTATTTTTCTTCTAGCCCTTCGTAGACTGATTTCTACACAATGAGCGATATTTTGATATTAATTAAAAGCACAATGTTGAAATTAAATTAGTGAAAATTAAATATAAGAATCCAATGTGAATCCAAGCTTTTGATGAAATCATTATGTTGAATAAATGAAATAATGGGAAAGTATTTGTTTCAACTCATGAATCAAGGTGGCGACTGTCAGCCGCTTCAAACCTCCATAAAAAACTAAAAGTGTTGTAGCTACAGATTGTCCCGGCGTCGTCATGGGGATAGCAAACCCAAAAAAAAAAAAAGTCCTATCTATGTCCAAGATTCACAAATGTTTCTCAAAAGTTTTCTTTTATTTCTTCACATAATCTTAAGATAAAAATTGTAAGAACATCTAACAGTCACTGCAGGTACGCCCGCTTTACAGGTTCTGTAGAACTCCTGCTGAATTACCTGGAACGGCGGCGAAGAACTGGACCGCGTTCCTGTGACCATGGAAGCTGAGTTGAGCGTGAGCCATGGAGCAGTAGGGAACGATGGTCCCGGCCGTCACCTTGTCCCCACTGTCGTCTCCATAGACATGAACCACTCCTCCAGGATTGCTTCCTGATGACGTGGCTACATTGTTGGCTGCTAACAGAACAGCAAAAACGTAGAGTAGACAGAAATCACAGAGCTTCAAAGGTGACCTACTATGCTTTCTTGAATCGGTTAGGATATGCTTATGGGCAATACAAAGCACGTTCATTGGATTCTTTTTCACATCATCATTCTTAAATAATGAGATTTTAGTCAGTTCTGTCTCATGTGAGCTTCTTTCACAATCAGTGGTTTTAGGGCCTCTTGTCACTTTAAATCTAAATATGCTGCTTTTGGCCACGCCCCCGCCCACACACCCCCACCCTAACTCAAAATTTACACTTGCACGTGAAAATCTATGCAAACAGGTGCACAATTATACAATGGCACATCTTTGAAAAGCAGAAGTGGAGCCTCCCGCACAACCGACATGAATGCAGAAAGTGATTTTTGGATGGTAAATCAAGTCTTTTCCAGCAGCCGTTGTACAGTGGTAAAACTTGCTGACCAAACGTTCTGGACATTTCCTTTGGATGCCAGGTAACATGCATGAACTCAGTTGGGGTTGGTAGATGAGGGGCAGTGCTTGTTGATTTGTGATGTTACATTCGAAAGGTTCTTGAGGTTCATTTCCAGACACCAAAAACCTTTTCCTCATTGCCAGAAGCTGGCTGGGTAATGGTGTTTTTTTTCTCTTGAAGTGATTCAGCTGTTTTTAGAAGCAATAGAAACTCAAATGGAAGTACACAAAGGTACAAAATGTGAAGTTAGCATAATAAGTCCCTTTTAAGAGGATGTTCATGGTTGACTTTAAACACTAAATGTATTTAGCAAAGCTTCCAAAGGCATTTAAATTAACAGATCATAACCAAAAGCAGTGAGTCGGTGGATTCAAGAACATAAAAGGCACAATTCAAGGTTTCAGCTTGTATTCCCTTAGGAACTGTTAAGTTGAAGGCTTTAGTTCCCGAACTTACTCTCCGTAACGGGAATAGAGATGATGACTCCATTTCCAGTCCCGATCCACAAGCGGCTACATGAAACCATTAGAGCCGTGATCCTCACAAACGAGAAGCCCAGCTTGCCCGTACCTGCGGGACAGGAAGACACTCTTTGTTTTACTCTGAAACCCAACTCCAGTTTGTGCAGCCGACTGCGACCTCGTTCTGACCGAGCATCTTGCTGACGTAGGGTTCGATGTCGATGTCCTGGAGGTGCTGGTGTGTGCGCGCGTGGAACAGTCTGAGAGTGGAGTCCAGCTTGATGGACACCCAGATCCCGTCACCGTGCCAGGCCAGCTGACGGACCTGGCTGTCCTTACGAGGGTGGGCGTCGAAGGTTTTCTGTGAGATCGAGAGAAACTTAAACGTGAGCTAACGTGCTGATCTCCCAGGCCGTTTGGGATCGGATCGCTGGGCGGGCTAAACGTTTTCCCCTCACCTCAACCTTCATGGCTCTGGGATGCACCACATGGATCTTGTTCCTGTAGCCGCACCACACCCGGTCGTGCACCACGGTCATGCAGCGGATGGAGTGGTGCTGCTTCCCCAGGTCCAGCAGGTGGTAGTTGGTCAGATCCCACTGCCCATCTGGCGACGGAAAGTCACAACGCCTCCTCAAAAACGGACATTGTCTGCATTTCCGACGTAACTGTGTGCAAAACTTTGTCGACGTTCCGCTAATGTAAAAAAACTACCACAATTTTACAGTTGCAGAGCTTCTATTAAATAAGAAACACTATTAAAGACACATAAGAAAAAGCTTGTGCATGCAATAAGTCGTTTAAAAAAAAAAAAAAAAACATGCCTCTAAATGTATTTAGCATTTAGACCTACTTCCTGTCGTTAATACGGTTAAAAAATCTCATCCTCGCACCAAATTTTTTTTTATTAAAAAGCAAGTTTTCTCAAAATTGCCTTGTTTCCATTAAGGGAATTCATTTTTGAAATGTCAATTATATGGTCAGTTTTTTCAGGAGTATTGGTCTCACCTGTTCCTCTGTGGAAAATGGCTAACGTGCTATCAGACAGGCTAACCAGGACCCGACCCTTCACGTGTCTGTGGAGGACATGACATTAAATCAACACAATAAGAGGGAAAAAACCTATCAGGGTTGTTTGTTTTGGATAAACTTACACTATGCCGATCACGGGCTTCTTCAGCTTTATAGAGTGGAGACACTTCTTCCAGTGAGCAACAGACGAGTGGACGTAGACGCTGGGATCAACGGTGCAATTTGTTAGAAAAACTCAAATTCACTCAAACACGTTCTTGGGTGGAGAAGCGAACGTCACTAAAGGCATAAAAGCTCACCATCCATTTTGGGCCCCCAGCCACATGGTGGGCAGAACGCTGCTCATTTTTTGAGCTTCTTCGATCATCAGGTCCTCTGCGTTGGGGTTTGAACTCACTCCATCTTTCAGCAGGTCGCTCTCTCTGCTCACAAGAGGCAGCCAGAAACGCAGAGGACGGAGTTAAGGACGGAGGACGAGCGATGTGTCCAAACTGGAGGAGCATGACTTGACTATCGTTACCCGGCGGCACGAAGGTTTTAAAAGATTCAAAATCACTGAAATTTGATATCATGCTATGGAGATTTGCCGCAGTGCAGAGTGTTGGAATCATGGCAGCGAACCAGAAAGGGGACAAATTAATGATCACTGTTTTTTCCTTAACAAAATAAGTAAGTTGAGAAATGCTGTTGGATGCAGATAATGTCAGTAAAGTTACAATTAGTTAATCCATGTCAATGAACAAGCTACTTATTTTGTTACGATTTATGTTCTCAGGTTAGTAGTAGTGGTTGCATTTACCTGACTCTTTTTCTTTTGGGGAAAAAAAAAGTTTCTTATATATATGAAGTTTTATTGCACTGTTCATTTTACTTTTGCTTGAAAAACATTATTACCTGAATGGGTAGATTTTGCATGTAAAGAAATAGACCTCAGAGATCCGAAACAATCGATTCTCAGATTTATGCGACGTAAGAGTTTATGAAAATCTGAGCGCAACTAGTATTTTCTGCATGTCGCCGTTCACCTCTGAGAATAGTTAGCTGGCGCCTCCCTGGTTTGCTGCGCTCCCAGTGGATCTGCGAAGACGTGTTCTGTGTAGATGCCTCTCAGGCTCTCGCTGTGGTCAACAGGCCCCGCGCTGGCCTCCATGGCCTCTTCTGCTGGCCTGGAGTCTGTAGAGAGAGCCGGTGGGTCTGATGGGTGCAGGAAGACGATATGTGATCCCGACTGGGCTGGCTGGTTTCTTGTGCTTTACCTGGACTGTCCGCTGTCTGAGGAACAGCAGTCACTCCCTCGCCGTCACAGCCCACAACTGTGATGCCTTCGAGGACGCCGCCGCCGCCCTCTGAGCCGCCATCGGCCGTCGACAAGCAGCCGTCTCCCACCGGGCCCGCGTCAGCGCGTGAGGACACTTCCTCTCCGGCTGGATAGTCGGTCTCTCTCGCGCCTTGACGGTAAGAGGAAGCAGTAGTTCGATCAAAGTGAGCTCCACCCCATTGAAAGTAAGTCTCAGACGCACCTTTGTTGTTTTGTTTTGGGTTTTTTTTTAAATCACTGACCAGGTACACTAGAGATGCAGAAGACGTGCGAGTTACAAACGAAGAAGCTCTCCAGGATGTTCCCGGGCTGGTTGGCGTCGATGACGACGACGTTTGAATTGGACTGGGTGCTGGTGGAGATCCACACCAGAGAGGAAAACTCGTCCTGCTGCCGCAACTCCTTCTGCTGCTCCTGCAAAGACAAAACAGAGAAAAACAAAACGCACAGTAAGCAAAAAAACACAAAATCTGACCAAATATCTATAAACTTTCTAGTTACTTGGAGCAAATATCTTGCTACACGTGAAATAAGACAAAACTAACTCACAATTAACTTTTTTGTTCAGACCTACTGGCAGAAAAATGTCTTGTTATAAGAGGAACAATCTCCTTTTTCATCAAAATGAAGAAACTATTGACTTAAACAAGCTCTTATAGTTGGCTGAAATGTTACTTGTAAGTCAGTTTTATCGTATTTTAAGGGTACCAAGATATTTCAACCAGAAACCATACTGAAAAGGAGGAGATTTTGTGTTGTTGCAGTGCTAAACTCACACTGAATTTGTACTTTTTTTTCATCCCACTTTCCCCGTATCCTTATATTGCTCACTACTTTTAAACTGGGGAAGTGGCACACCTTCAGTTCCTGATCCAGTTCATCAATGCTGCTCTGCGAGCCTCTCTTCTTTCTGGGACTTTCTGCACCGGACACGTCGCTGTAAAACACACTGGCTCCCACGATTGAGCCTCCGTCTCTGGTTTTCCCTCCAGACAGGTTGACACCTGCAGCACACCACAGCTGGAGTACGCACACAACAACCAGCAGATTAATGTTGCATCCGCACCATGTATCTTCCTTACAGTAACAAAAAAATAATAATATTTTTACATTTCGGGATATGAGGGACAAATTTAGGATGTTTTCCTTCTTTCTGCTGTCTTTCATTTTATGGATGTGTATATTTTTTCTGTTGTACATGATTGTTTTTAATGACATTAGCACATTTTCCAACTAACTAATTAATCAATTATTCTGACGATTAATCGGATTTTTAAAAAATGGCACATTTCACAGATTTTTCACGTCCCCAATTAAGCCTTTTTAATGCAATGTTAAATGCAAATACATATTATAGTTCCTTTTATAAGTATGAAAATAAACATTTTATTGCCTAAAACTTAATTACGCAGCATTCATTTAGTAAATATGAACCGGGTGAAGCTAAAACTGTCACTTGAGGAGTTTTAGTTAAAATACTTTTAGATATTATTTTTTTTGTCTTAAATGCAAAATGCATTTATTTTTTGTACAGTTTCATTAATGCTCTGAAATGATGGGGGTTTTTCTTCCAGAAAATGGCCTTTTCTGAGTCGGTATACTCCAGTTAACGATTGATCTGCTGTTACTAAACTACTTGACAATTATTTCCAAAATCGATCACAATCAATTCAATTAATCGTTTCAGTTCTATCCAGGGGGTAAAAAAATGAAGCTCTGAATGCTTATGGACAGCAATGCAAGCAGCAGCAGACACCTTCATAGTGGGATCTTTCTCATCCAGCGGCCTGAGGAAGACGGGAACAGGCAGATTCTTCATCTTGCCCTCTGCCTGACCTCCATTAGCCTGAAAAGTCAAACAAACAAGCTCGCATTCAGGATGAACAAAACAACCCAACTGCTCAGTAGAAATCCAGAACGGATGAAATGTTTCAGCAGCTGTCTGATTACTTTGTATTTCTTGGGCAGGCTCCAGCCGTAGGCCTGCACTCTGCCGTCCTCCTTCTGGACGTGAGCTTTGACCTGTTTGTACTGAGCTCTCTTCTGCTCTCGCCGTGACACCGAACTCTCAGGGGGCGGACTGTAAGGGCAGAACAACGGCGCACTCACAACTCGGCTTTTCCACAGAAGACCAAAGAGATATAAGGAAAAAATGATATCCTAGAAAAACTATGATTCCCTGTTGGTTCTCCTTTCATGAAGTCCTTCATGTGCACTAGGAAATATAAACACCGTTTTTTGTTCTGCTTCAGTACTTTAGCGGCCAAAAGAGCCGTTTTTCCAACTGTGGTTCAGATTATTTTCAAAACAAAATATCCAAATATATGCTTTTGTTTCTGTATGTAGAATTCTAAAAAAAACTGAAAATGTTTCAGTAAATATTCTACTTTGAAAAAGTATTTACAAAGGTAGGTTACAAAGGTAGGTTCACTACACCCACTGGATACATGTGGTTTTTATTTACAATTTGGAACTTAAAACATTAAAGTGTAGGGATGTAATGGAGAACATATTTGTATCAAATCTTATAGAAAAAATGTCACGTTTTCCCAAAAAAGATAATGTCTCACTACTTTTTTTTTTTTCTTTTAGAAGCACCACAAAAAAAGGTATCAAAAGCTCTCCACTCCAAAGCAATGCAAGAACAACAGAAAACAACAACGAAGCTCAGGAGTTTTGCTGAATAATTGTAAATTTCCTATGCTACAAGGCTATCATTAAAAAAAGAAAAACAAATAAATAAATATATTTAATACCTTGCTAAACATTTAAGCTAAAAACATATTTTTAAGAAAAATGGGTAGGCTATGAGAAACCCTTGAGTGTTTCGTTTGCTCTCAGGCTCGTTATCAAGAACCAGTTTCTCTGAAACATCTCTTAGAAAAACTAAGGAATTAAATAAACAAATAGACCTGCGCTGTCTGAAACCCCATGTGATTCTCCAAATTGTGTTTTTTTTAACCTGCTGTGGTTAACCTAACCCTGTGGCTTGCAAAAACACACAGTTGTCTAACTTCTAGTGCAGACATTTTAGTGCACTTGAATCAAGACAAATCTTATTTTAAGTCCATAATTCCTTACTATTGATGAAAAGGTACCAGTGATGAAGCAACTTCACTTATAAGTAGTACTTTTTCATCAATATTAAAGAAGTATTTCTTGCTGAAAAGTGATTTGTAGTGTCGTCTCTTTTCAAGTGCACTAGATACTAGAGAAAAAAAAGCTTGGTAAGGTTTTGTGTTTTTTGCGGTGTGCAGACGACCTCTCTGACTTACTCCTCATTGAGGAAATCAAACGCTTTGCTCTTGTCGCTGGGCAGCTGCTGCAGGGCGCTGCTCTTCTTCTTGACGGACGGCTGAATTTGCGAGGTGGGCGCGTTGTACTTGACGTTAACCGGCGCCTCCCCCGCTGGCTTCTTCCCCGCTCCGCCCGACGAGCTAAACAGACGGCTGAAACTGGACGTGTAAGGGCGGGGAAGTGGGGAAGAGAGAAAAGGAGAGAGAGAGAGAGGAGGAGGGGTGGAAGCACACAGAGACAAACGTATAGCAGGGTGGACACAAGCAGCAGCTCCAGCAGTAAGAGGGGGTTTAACATGTGAGGGGGAAAACAGAAGTCCTTCTCCACACCATGCTAGCTTTCATCCAGGCAAAAAAAATCTGCCTAAATATTCCCTCACTTTATAAATCTCTCTTGCAAGTAGACACGCCCGTCCTTTCAGAGCGCTAGAGTGCAGGGATTGCGGGTTATTAAAGAGCAAACACTAGGAAGTTAGTAAACGACACAGAGCAGAAAGCGTCTGTCCAGAGAACACCCCCGTTTTAGAGATGCACCCAGAAATCAGCTTGATTTGACACGAGCAGGTCGAAAACTCAAAAGTCTGATCACAACACGAAGCACAACACTCTTCGGTGTGGATGGCGTTACTACAAGAAGAGGATTAAGTTAACTATTTGAGGTATCTTTAGGTTGGTTCCAGAGATTTCTTATACTTATTTAGCAACCCAGAACAGAGATTAGAACAAACTCAGAATCCAGAAAAACCACCTTAGCAACTACGTTTCAGAAATGGAATTAGACTAGAGGATACTTGCTTATACTTATTTACCAGCCCTGAATCTGAGCATCTAGATTATTTACTTTGGATCAACATTATCAGCTTTTTCTTCTTTCCTTTAGTTTTTTATTTTGTTTGTATTTCCTTTTAGGTCCTGTAAAGCCCTTTGAATCGCTTTGTTGCTGAAAATGCGCTATATAAATAAAACTACTTTTACCTTTAAACAAATTTAGAAAAAAAATTAAGGACCTATTTTCCACAGCACGACAAAACATGTCTGCGGGTAATTCAGGCTGCGAGAAGGCCTGAATTACCCGCAGGCCTTCTCGGGTTAAGTTACTTAAAGTGTAAATTTTTGTACTTCTTAAAGTTAGGCTTTAAGAAGTACTAATGGAATAAAGAGAAATTTTTAAGTTTGTTAACGGGTCGTTTCATCGATACATTCTGCCACAACCGATCCTTTGAGGACATCCATGATTCCGATCTGGCCCGATTGAAAATGAGCTTCACAAAATCACAATTCAATTGTGATTCATTGTTATGAATCAATTATTGAAATAATCTTCAAATAATTTAGTGAACAATATATTGTCAACTGGAGTATACAGACTCAAAGAAAGCCATCTGCTGAGAGAACGAAGCATTAAGAGCTGTAATTAACCCAAAAATATATCTGAATTTGTTTTAAGATTTAAAAAAATAAATAACCTGTCTATAAACATGTTCTCCAATGGATCCTTTAGTACAAGTGACAACTAAAGAAATGCATTTTAGGTAATAAAATGTTAATTTTCTAATTGTAAAAAGGAACTGAACTATTTTTAATTGCGTCTTTTACTGTATTTCCAACAATGTATCAAAAGGGCTTGAATAAAAATCTGCAGAATGTGCCAATTTTTTTTAATCAATCAAAAAAAATTTTTATCCTATTAATCATCAAAATAATCAGCACCTAAGTTAGTTGGACTCCTGGAATAAATCGTACTGATTTTCAGTGAATCTGGACTGAATTCTGATCGGTGCATCTCTTTCAGCTCCCATTGGCTCTTCACAGAATACGTCAAGCATCCAGCATTTCCTATGAGATAAGCCCGGCTTACCGCCAAGCTTTTTGCAGTGAGAAACGCAAAAAGCCTTCAAGTCTATGCACGTGAAGAAATTATTACTATATTCCCACTAAATTTGAACAACCCTCGTCCCAACACACCTCCTGCACAGAGACATCACAACATCAGGCAGAATATAAAGGGACACACAGGAACAGGGTGGAGACGGTACATTTGTCAGATGTTGCCCCAAAACAGCGTCCATCATCAAACCAAACCAAACTGTTTCCTTATAAAACTTAACAAAGGAGAGCATTGCCAAAAATCCGAGGGTTGGCATCAAGCGCAACACTTCCTGGTTTGCTCTCCTCTGTTAAGAGTTTGTTATTAGAACGTGAATGTCACAAGCCACCCGAGATTTACCTACATCCTGGAGGAAACACCCAGAGAAAATGCAAAAAAAAAGGTCAAAATGACATCCGGATCACATAGTTGGGAACGTTTCAGGTGAATAAAAAGAGGAGCTTACAACTGCCAGAGGCTGGATTTCTTCTTCTCTGGAAGAGCGGGATTCTCCTTTGAAGCGCTGAAAGAAAAAAAAAAAAGCAAATAAAAGTATGAAGCCGTTTCCATTACAACGACAACACCTGAATTTCTACTTAGTCTCTACTGCACTACAGGGAACCTCCTGCGTTGCCTTGGAAAAATCAGCGGTTCCACATTTTCTCATGCTAAAACCATCAAATTTAGTGCATTTTACTTTAAATTATTATTTTATTATAGCTAACTCGATAGCTAACCAGGCTATATTTGTCGCCAATTACTGGCAGCCTGAACCGTCTGAAGTCAAAGAACTTAAGCCTGACAGAAAAATCCCATGAGGAAAAATGTCAGAGTGATATACAAGATTAAATAGCACTTCCACAACAACATTCAAGACCTGTGTTATTTAAGCCTTTATGACCCAAGTTTCGAATTTCTACCTGGATATTTCTGCTTACTTTAATTGTATGCAGTTCTCTAAATGTCCTGTGAGTAAATATATTTGCCCATTTATCCATAATAACTGGAACTTTAAATATCTAGCCAGTTATTTTTGCAATTTACAATTTTTTAAAGAATTAACTTCACTCCCTGCTCAGCAGGGGTTAAAACTACCGTAATAACCCGATATTGGCTAGAAGGCGCAATGTCTCCCCTTTCAAAAACAGTTGGAATTTTTCAGACAGCGCAAAAGTGGCGGAATTACAGTACTGTGAATTTGTCTGGATCGCCTGCGCTTCTTTTGACCTAACATTAGTTTAATAAAGACTTTTTTAGGCCTTCATTGCAGATAGACTCATAGACCCTCCACATAATTCAAAGCTGGTAGAGATTTACCCCAAAAGACTTGCAGTTTTTAACTGAAGCAAAAAAAGTTAACTCTGGTGAGCACAGCAAATTTTTCAGATTCCATAACTGCCTTTTTTTTTCTACTTCAAAAAGTACCAAAAAACTCCATTGAAGTTTATGGTTCTCAATGGTTGGACATGTTTTTAGAGCTTGTCGTTATTTTACCGGATCATCTCTGTCCATCTGACGGCTTCCTGCAGCTCCATCAGCCTCTCTTTATACTGGTTCCTCTCCATCAGGACTCTGGCCATCTCCACTCTGGTGAAACGTTTCCTCTGGGCTGTGGGCACGTCGCTCTGCAGGCACAACGTAACCGTGAGACAAACCCGCGCGCACGTTTTGACTCCGTCCATGACTTCGATGAACAGGTGCTTACGTCGTCCTCGTTTTCATTCTTGACCTTCTGTTTGGCCTCATCCAGTTCGGCTTTAACTCTGCAACGCGGGAAACGTCGGAGTTAATTATGCGCCAAGTAACAGTGGGGATATTTTAAAACCTCTGAGCAACATACTTCTTTAGCTCCTCTTCTAATTCTTTGTATTTCTTCTCCAGTTTGGTCTTAGCCTGAGTGACGGCCTCCAGCTCGCCTCGCAGAACTTCCTTCTCACAGGACAGGTCGTCCACTTGAGCTATGAGGTCGTTTTTCACCACATTCAGAGCGTTTCTGGAAACACATTCATTAAACCACGTTCAACACGATGCGTTTCATAAAAAACGTCACGCTCAAAGTTCAGGCTTGGCATGCAGATTCAAGTGTGCGCCTGTTAACAAGTTACGTCACTCTGTAGCATGAATTTAAAGCTCGACATACAGTACCGTGGGAGATTGTGCAACTCAACAAATGTGTTTTATACATTTAATATTTTGGCTTTTACCATTGCAGAGAGAAAGATTACAAAAACTTTTAAGTCAGAGGTGAATTCTCTTAAAGGGCATTGAAATCGTTGAAAAAATTCTTAAAATAAAGTGATGTAATTGAACATCTTTGTGATTCTTTTTGCGATATTATTTCTGGTATTAATTTGGAAATATTTGCGCTCATTTATGACAGTAAATGCAACTTTTTATATAGACAAAGTTCTATGATCTGACATCAATTAAGGCTGAGGCAAATGTTTAGCACAAGTGAGAAAGTTTGGAAAAGTCTGGAATAAACCTGCATATATGCATTAGCAAGAAAGTGCAGAGATTTGTTGGTTCTGCATAAATTTCCATGGTAATTCTCACGCTGGAGGGACTGATTGATATAATTTGGCAGTAAAACGATAAAAACTGCACTGATCTGATTAACAACATAATATTTAAGCACACTTAGTGTTTACTCTAGAATCTAGAGGACCACATAAAAAGCTGTGGCGGGCCAATTTTGGCCCACGGGCCTCGAGTTTGACACATGTGGTTTAAGGAGTGAGCACTAACTTGGTCTCCAGCAGCTGGGTGTTCTCATGGATTAGATGTTCGACCTCCCGACCCATACCTGGAAATGAACATCTAGGTTAATAAGGCAGCAAGTCATCATTCACCAGTTCTAACCAGTGTGTGTCTCTGCCTACACTATCCACCTACGCATTTTCAGCCTTACCTAAAAGGTTGCAGACTGACCGTGACATAAGAAAAAGGATGATGAGAAAGGTTTATTCATAATGACGTCCCTTTTAAACATTGCTACTCTAGAGTATTACTACCTCCTTCATAAAGACACCACAAATATACAAGGAGCTACAACAGCGAGAGACGACCAGTGAGACAACAAGAAGGAAATCATCGATACACACCAGAGAACTCGTCTGTGAGGACGTTTAACGCCGCAAGCCAAAGCAAAACACAATTCAGAGAGGTAGAGGAAAACTGTGTTTGTTAAAGCAAAAGCCGAAATGTAACGCGAGAGAGAGAGAGAGAGACGGGCGTTTTACCCAGCAGGTCGGCTCCCTCGTCCACGTCGCCGATCATGTCGTTTCCTGCAGACGCCAGCTCGTCGAACAGAGAGTCGTTGTTGCGGTCGAAGGCTGGATTCTCGATGCCACCTTTGGTCGGTGTGCTAGTCAAAAATCACAATGTCGATATATGAAACATAATTTATAACTCGTACTAAACTGCTACTAAAATCTGAACAGACTGGAGGAAAACGGTGCAATAATTAGCAACCATTTCCACCATTAAATTAGTCATTAAAGCTGCAGTATGTAACTTTTACAAAGTAGTTTATTTACACATTTGTTCAAACTATCACTGTGTTGTGATAATATAGTATGACAGATAATCTGTGGACAAATACTTGAGCTCCTCCCAGTGCTACTATCACCTTCTAAAGAAACCCACAGCTCCCTGTCAGAAACAACCAATCAGAGCCACGGGGAGGGTCTTAGCACTGTCAATCATCCTCGTCTATATGACATAGTAACATTTTTGACAAATGTAACATATCTTTTATAAAAGCTACATACTGCAGCAGTAGGAATAATGTAGCAGTAATCTTAAAAATGTACCTTGTTCCTTGGCAGCTGTCAAAGTCCATGTCCAGCTCAGGAGTGGACTCTAGGATGGCCTGCACTTCAGACTTCTCTGGGCTCTCATCTCCATCTGGGGAAAAAAAACAAAAAACAAAGTTCAGCTGTAGCTTTGACCATGTTATTTAATTAGTTTGTGTCAATGTTCCAAACAGAGAGAGAAACCAAGACATTCTGCTCAAATGAAAGTAAAACATAGATTTTTTTTTCTTTCCCCACATCATGACTATTTCTTGGCTCCATGGGCAAAGTTTTCAGTCCACCTGTCTGTAATTTAATTAGTGAATAAACTGAATTTTACTGACTTTGAAGGACCAGAGCAAGCAGATCAGGGATGAAGCTGTGGATGTGTTTGCAACTGGCTTAGCTTCATGCATTAATGCCATAAAATTTTGCTTTAAAACAATATATTTGACCACTCTCCTGGATTTCTACTTCATAACTGACATGCAACTTCTTGACAAAGATCAGAAAGCTCAGGGAGAATGGTGCGGATACTAATTACTGAAAAACAAATGTGAAAGGCTAGAAAAGACATCAGAGCGGAGTGGAGGTTCATCTTTTAAGCAGGACAGCAACCTGAAACACACAGTCAGTGGTAAAAAGGAAGGATTAGATCAAAAATAATTCATGTGATATATGGTCAAGTCAATACGTGTGAATTAAGCTAAAAGACTTCTGCATGGCACGGTGTAGATGTGACAGAACTGCGACGGTCACCTTCATTTGTGACGGGCGCAGAGCCAGTCTTCTGGACGTCGTCTCCACGCCAGCCCTTCTGTTCTTCCCTCGACGTTTCCTTGTTCTCTCTGTTTTCAGATTTTCCACTTTTCCTGCAGAGTCCTCTTGACGTTTCCTGCTCCACGGACTCCATGGTGACATCGGAAGAAGCCGTAGACAGCGGTGAAGAAGAGGTGAGCGCGAGTTCACCGTTGGCCACTTCGTGAGGAGACAGCGGCGTGACAGAACCGCCCTGAGACGACGCTGAAGTGTTGGCTTTGGACGATCCATTGTTTGATGAGGCTGCAGCTGAAGGTTTAGAGGCGTTTCCCTGGTTGGCTGCTGTGCTGGGCATGGAGTTTCCACGATTTGCATTGGCCAACTCGTCCTGACCGGGAGGGAAAGGAAGGCGGATGAGAGAATGGTACGTGAAGGACAAATTAGAACCCAAATGAGCAGCTGTGACAAAATAAACAAATGTCCACAAAACCAAATTCTCAAAGCAGCAAACGTTGTCAAGTCTGGTGAACCGGAGACAATTTAAAGAAACGGCAAACCAAACAATTATTTTCATCCAGAACAACAAGTAGAGCTTTTCAGAAATGTTTCTGATGTGATTGGACTTTGAACGTACCACCAGACTTGAAAACTTTAGGCAAGTAAATTACACAACATGCAACATCATACCTGGAAAACGAGCACAGTGGTTGATGTTTCCCTACATCTGGGCTCAAAATAGATGCGACAGAATCTAACAATCCACAGCATTAAACCAAAACTACTGACGCAACCACTACCAACTGTACAGAAAGATTATGTTAAAAGTACATCCAGGTTCTCTTTATATTTTAACAACTGACTATTGGGTTTAAGGATTGTTTAAATATAAAAGGAACAAATAAATAAACAAAAATAGAGCTAAAGCAGAAACTTAATGTAAAAAAAAAACAAAAACGTAGAGTTGTGCAATATTGATCTGATACAAAGTAAATGAAGGACCTGTATCGCCAATACCGATCCTCATGCAGGTACTTTCTATTTAAGTTTGACATATAAAATGTTTGACGTCTAAATTTTCTTTTTTTTAAATATATTTTGTATATTATTCCACAATTTGTAGCTGAAAAGCCAAATACAGCCGGTGGATATCATGCACTTCTAACTGTTCTGAAGTGTTAGCATCACTATTTGTGTTTACACAACTAATTCTGCATCGCTACCACAGAAAATACAGCCAAGAAAATGGTTAGTCACTCAGATCTGTCCGTGAAGGTCTACCTGGTTGGAGAATTTCCCTGGTGATATTCCGCCAACATCTCTGACTTGGGAAAAAATCTCTTCAAACTGAGGAAGATTATAATCGGTTACTGAACAGATTACCAGAGTGGAGAGGAAAAAAAAGTAGCTTTATTGGTAATCGACCTATTACGAGAGTGAAAAAGAGATACTGTATAATAATGTAAAACTAAAGAAAAACAGCTTACAGATAAATGTCATTTATTTTCTGCAAGATTCGAATTTTAAGTGGCCAAGTTACTAAACTGACACTTAAGCAACCATTTGTTTTTTTTTAACTATGAGATTCAATACCGTTCCTCTTCCTCACTATGTGACCTACATTGTGAGGGCTCAGTGTGTAAATAAAAGCTGAACCATTTTAACTCTGTGCCATCCTGACACTCTAACCCTGCATTGTTCTCTTCCTGTTGATCCTCTGCGCCTCTCCTATAAATAGCTCAGAGCACACGGAAAATAATCAATCAGGACAATAACTAAGGATCACTTCGGATCCCTGTCACCTTGAAAACAACAGATGTTGCAATACAAGCAGACACTATTTAAAGATTTCTCACACTGAACAGGTCAATACTAGAGGACATTTGTTTTTTTCTTTTTATCGTTCCTCATTTCTCATTGTTTGCTCTTCCTACCTTTTCCACACACTCTCTCCAAGGAGAAAGACCAACATTACATGCTGGCGTCACCATGTTGTTGTTGTGGCAGCACTGAGTGGCCAATTAGGCTGAAGTGGCTCTACTCAAAACATCCAACAAAATACACACAAGAATAGAAAAATCCAGAAAATTTCCAATTTCATTTTGTTCCACTTCAGATAATCCTTTAAAACGGTCTTGATTGTGTGTAATTTAATAAGAAGAAAGGCCTACAAAATAAAGAGCTACAAGAAATAGCTGTTTGTGTGTGGCGGGTGCTGCATGTAGCACAGTATATACATTTTAAAGATGTGAAAAGTGCATCCTTTCAACATTACTTGTGAGTTAAAGACACATGACGGAGTAAACGTGTTAAATCAAACACCATTACATTGTGGAGACGCAGCACAAAAAATTGCAAGAAGCCACTCAAAGTCTTAAAACTAAAGAAAACAGGAAAATACCTGTATCACAACACCTCTCTTAAATTACACAGGCATTAGATTTTACATAGAGGTCTGACTACAAATGCTCAGTAGACTTACTGCAGATTATTTTCCATCATCTTCACAGTTTAGCTCTACTTTGTGTTACTCTCATTACAAAAAAGTAACTAGACTGTATTTGTACAGCACTTTTCACAGATAATTGAATTAGAACATGCTTTACTACAATAATAATAAGCACACAGACACATCAACAAATAGAAAGCGCTTGTCTAATTAAAAGGCTGCTCTCCTTAAGTCTTCAGCAGCTATTTCAAATATGTTTATGTTGTACGTCTACAACATGAAACCCCAAGAGAATACAATTCAAAGGGTAAGAATACTTTTATATCACACCAAACATGGTGAGGGAAAAGGCATCAAATCAAGGAATAAAAAGGCACTTAGGAGACTAAAAACTTGTCAGTACGAAAAAATTTTAAAGGTTGAAGATGGAGGAAAGTTTAGAGGTTACTGAGAGTCATCCAACTCCTCCGATTCCAATCAAGTTCATTGAACCAGAGTTAGTGTAAAACACAAACGGAGCCCTGTAAGGCTCATTAATATTCATGATGGAGCCTTGCTGGAAGTATGATCCTCAACGGCAACGATGTGAAAGAGACTGTGTCTCCTCCACCCTCCCAGGAGGGCTAAGGCAGGCCCCAGAATGGTACCACTTCCCTTCTTCCTGGGCGCCAAGCCATCCCCGTCACACACAAACACACACAAGCTGCTAAAAATTCAGGACACACTGAACAATCCATTCTCTCTGAATAGAAATTTTACTGGCAGAGGATGTTTCCATTTGGTTCCTGTAGCCTGGGTGTGATGTCACCGCTTTGGGTTCATGGGGAGCTCACGGTGTACACCGGGGGGAAAGGTTTGTGATTTTAATCAGGAGTTTAATTGTGGGCCGTACCTTGATGCTGGTGTTGGACTGCGACTGGCTGAGGTTGTTGAATCTCCATGGTTCAGACGGGGTATCGACAGGGTCCCGCTGGAATTCAGAGGTCATGCCATCGGGCCCGGGAAGTTGGAAAACCATGGAGATGGGGCGCTCTTTCCTGCAGACAAAGGGAAACGGCCGGTTGGAGCTCGACACGTTACACTCAGTGCCTCACAGTGATCAAGCTCCGTTGCTCTAACTAGAAGAAAAACAACAAAGTCTAAAAGTTTCACCAACCCACAGAAAACTGAATAAAGTATAATGTGATCCATCAAACAGACGATTTTTTTTTATCTCTGTGACTCTCCAACACAATCAATAATTAGGAGTTTACTGTTAGACCTCCTTAATTTTGGGACAACAGGCAATAGCGACATGAGAAACTGATCTTATCCATAAAAGATCAGAAAATCCACAACATACTCCTTTTCAGGGATGAAACAATTAATTAGATTATTAGTGATGAACCAATAATTGAAGTAATCATCAACTAATTTAGTCATCAATTAATTGTTAACTTGATTTATATAAAAAAGGCCATTTGCAAAACTCTTACATTCTGCAAAGAAAATCTATTAAACACCTATTGCTACCTATTTACTAATTAGTTAATTTAAAAAAAATTAACAGATTAGCCCTATATTGTATTAATGTTGAGTCAAACAGTAAGTGCTGAACTTTTCACATGTTAATATTAAAAGCATGCTCATAGATGCAGATGCAAATGATTAAGCATTTACTAAAGGAAAGCTCTATTATTGCAGTTAAGCAATGTTTTTTTGTCTAAAAATGAATTTAATTGCTCATTTGCCTCTTTCAGTGTGTTTCTAATATAGTAGAAAAAAGACATGAAATATTTGCTATGTACCAATTTTTTTTGATTGTCAGAATAATCGATTAATCAGTAGTTAATCAATTAATCAATAACGAAAATGATTTCAGTTCTGTTCCATTTGCTCCGCCATGAAAGAGGATTGACTGACGGACTCGTCTGCATGTGCGTGGTTAACGGCAGCCAACCAACCCAATGTTGTCAACTTTGCGACTTTGTAAAGTCTGACAGATTACGAAGCGTGCCAAACGGGTGAAAATTAACGGAACCGCTCAGTGAGGTGCAAGAACATCTGATTTATGGTGAGCAGTGAGAGCATAGGATGGTGAACAGGACATGCTTTTGCATTGATGCTGCAGAAAAGGTGACAGCAGCTAAAAAAAAAAACGGAGCTCTAGTAATCGACACAGCCTCAGGTCACTCTCATAATGGCTCAATTAATCTGCTGAATTAAACCCGCATTAGAGAGTGTCCGTCTTCTCAATATGGTGGAATCAAAGCTGCATAAATGAATGTGTGTGGTGCAGTAATGTTTCCCTTGAGGCTCATATGGTGGGAAGAAAGATAATGCTGGGAATCACAGCCAATCATGAAGATCATAGAAAAATAGTTTACATTTGGGCGATCCTAATCTGACAACTCTAATCTCTAACACTAAATCATAGTGCCTCCTAACTTTGAAGTGGAAGGAAAAGGATGCAATTCTGACCAATTTTACAATAGTTTGGCATATAGATCGGGTGAAAAGTTCACAAGGGGGGTTGAGAGAAGTGATGAACAACATGAGGCTCAGAACAAAATCAAGTGGTTTTTGTCACAGAACTCCAACAATGACGGCCAACATTGGCAAATCGACCTGAACCTGAAGAGCCCTTTAATGAGGGAAGAAGTCAAGAGGCCCACTGTGACTCTGGAGGACCAACAGGTGAATCTATAGTGGAAAAATCTACTGGAAGAAAATTATGTCTGGTTCACATGGCGGGATTTTAAAAATGTCGTCCAATTTTAAGAACCTGAGCGACCACTCACTAGGAGATAAATATCTTAGGTATACAGTGCATCGTGTCGAGCAACACACCACACATAGACTGACTTCACTCACCAACATTCGGATGTCAGCTGGGAAATCACGCTAAACCGCTCTAGACCAAGACCAAATGCAAGCTCAGAGTAAACAAATATGGCCGACTGGGAAGAAGCAATAGTGAGAGTTTATGGACAGAGAAAAAAACAATACAAAGACGTCTTCAACATCCACTGGACTTCTGTATTTTAAATTCACCCTCCATGTTTCTGTCACCTTGGTTTTGAAACAAATCAACAGGCTGCATCCTCAGGAAAGAAAAACAACACTCACATTGCGATACCGAACTAAGACAATCAAAACATGTTGAATATCTCCAATTTTAGATCCTACCAGTCCCAATTTCCTTCCAAGAGGATCAGGTCACTCTACACCTGGCATTTTTATATCTCAAAATGAACTTAAGAGCTAACCTGATAATTAGAAAGTCCAAAAGATTGTCAGAAGGGGAAAATCCGGATCAAAACTGAAATAAAAATCTTGCAATGTGAGAGTTTTGTGAGAATTAGAGGCGGCAAAATGTTTCAGCAGGAGAACCACACAAAATATGCTCACATTTAAAAACAGTCACCTAAAAATGCTTCCCATCTTATTGCCATGGTTTAAGCTAACTGTTAAGAAGAACGTGCACAAGACATTCAAGTTGATGAAAACGTTCAAGAAAACGTTTACGAGGCTTTCCAGTTTATAGATGGAGGGAAACTCTACACACACAGTGGGTAGAGCAGTGGCTTCCATGGGGAACACACCACCAGGGAAGCCATGCAGTGATGACAAGCAGGAGCCTGAAACAATGAACACACTGCCACATTGAGTTCAAACAGTTCACAGCTGAGCCACTGACGGTGACAAACACTGCCTTTTGAACGTTTTACCTCAAAGATATATTTAATTAAAGATCTCTGATATTGAGAAATAACTGGTGAAATTTGGACCCTGTCACTCTTGACCTACTTTCACACAGTCTGCTGGTACCTCACCCACATGGCTGCAATGAAGCGACTGCATGGCTACCACGTCACTGACTACCAGGAGAGTGAGGAACATAAACAACAACACGCCACTTTCGCACGAAGACTTGCAGAGGTTGTACCTGCTTGGTCTGGGTAGGGAGGGCGACCAAGGCAGGGCAGGTAAGCCTCCGGTAGAGACCGAGTAGTGAACCAGCAGCAGGACCGACAAAGAGACCAGCACTGCGGAGTTGATGACCACCGCTCCTCCGACGAAGCCGAAAACAAACAGCAGCATACACCCGGGGCTCATGGCCCCCACCCACGACCCAAAGGTGGGAGGGGACGGTTGGTAAGCAAGGTGGCGAAGGGTCCCTGGAGCGCTCTGACGTTTCCCGGTGGAGCTACGTCTGCAGCAGCTCCAAGAGACGGCGCGTGCTCTCCCTCCACCTCTGGCTGGGAGTCAATCCACAGCTTCGGATGCTGCAGCTCAGAGCCGAGTCAGTCAGAGTTGGAGCAGATCAACAATGTGTCAGCAGGATTCCTGATGGACTGGAGCAGCAGCAGCAGCAGCAGCGAATCATCCGCAGAGAGCCAAGAGAAGCTGGTACCAGCAGCAGCTTTCCTCCGCTTTACTCTTCTGGCAGCTAGTTCCCTTGCTTGACTCTTCCTATCATGTGCTGAGATGCAACGCGGCTGCAGTGCCGACTAGAACGCTCTGACGCGCTCTCCCCCTCCTCACCATCACTGCACCCAGCACCCCTCCCTCTGGGTCTCTCTCTCTTTCTCTCTCCATCGCTCCCTCTGGTCGTAGGATGCTGAGGCAGCTTGTTCCATATGTCTCTGCTCTGCCTGCAGCCGATTGGCTTCGGACCAGGGAGCCGGAAGGGGAGCGTTTGTGTCTGTGGGAGGCTGTTTTAAAGGGAACTTCTTTAAAGCTTTTATGTTTTCAGCATCAACAAAAATTGCACATTACAACTAAATACTCAGGAAATAATTGAGTTTTGAAGAAGAAACCGTGCATACGTACGTATTGTGAAAAGTTTCTTGCAACAATTTGGATTTATTGTATCAGTACATTTTAATTAATGATGTTAAATCATTTAATTGGACTTTATTTTATGAAGTCTTAACTTCTATTTTTGGCAGTTTTTAATTTGTATGCATTTAAGTGTTTTTTTTAATTATTTTTATTTTATTGTCTGTGCCTTTTAATTATTGCTTTCGATAGTGAACACCGGTGTGCCGCTTGGCCCCGTATCTTTCAAAAACAAAAGATTTCATCTCAAGGGGCTTCTTGGTGAAATAATGCCGAAATAAATAAAAACAAATCTGAATTATCATTAAAATTTTAATTTTGTATTATTTTCTCCAAATTTTGTTCCACAAGAGCATCAATAAATATCAGTGAATTAAAAAAAATAAAAAATTAAGTGAGATTTACTAAGAAGCCATTTTGAAGGAGAATGCTTTTCAATAGCAGTGTTTGTATCTGTGGAGCAATGAATGTTACCTAAAAAAGAAGTCACAAACACTTTATCATCTATAATATATTTTTCATTTTCACACTAATACCACAAAATATCAAGATGCAATTCTAAACTAACATCACCCACCCCTAATTCAGCCTTTTGACAGCTTGATTTATTACTGTAAAAAATGTTTAGCCCAACAAGAGCCCTCTGTGCAGATTTACTCAGCGTCCTTGAGATCGCAGCACATGAAATGACGGCAGGTTTTCCTTTTAACAAACAACAGTCTGATGTGCTTGTTAAACTGTACAGCAGGCCGTTCACATCATATTGGTGAATCAACAAATCTAGAGACTCAAGTAGATAGAAATACATACATCTCTCTGAAAAAAACAAAATCAAAAGACCATTTAAAATGATCAATTTCTCCGATTTTGCTCTTTATAGGAATTTGTTTGAGTAGCTCGAACATTGTTCTTTTATTCTATGAAGGTAGATTAAAAATATAGATGTAGATGGAGATAGTTTTATTCAATCTGAAACACACAGACCCACACAACAATAATTATTAGTCAGTACTCCAACTGCATTCAGTGAGATTCAAAATAAAGTCAATTTAAAAAATGTAATCGTTTACTAAATATTGCTAAGTTGACACTTTTAATGCAACTTGTAATGATCATTTGCATTAAAAGTGCCATTATTTACCAAAAGACACTTTAATGACAACAGTCCTCATCATTTATGACACGTTTATGACAGTTTCATGTCAGTCTTATGAACACCCCTTCAAATAAAGTGATACCAAGATGTTTCTATGAAACTAGAAGAACCTCATGTATCTTGATTGCGTGCATTTCTTTTAAAGAGTCAATAGACGAGTTAAGTTCATGTAAAAAGAAAGTTAATTAACAGCATCAGTAGGGAAAACTGTGTGCGTAGGTCTAACCGTCTCTTAGCTGACGATGCTGTATCAGACGGCTCTGCTGGTGTGGTTGGGTGCTGGTGTTTAGCTCGCTCCAGGTGCTCCATGTAGCTGTGGATCATCTACAAAAAGCAAACAAGAGTTAGCTACGTTTAGACAATCCGGAAGAAACAAAGTGTCTTTAAAAATATACTGATAGGGATTTGTCAGTAAATGATCTCCTGCTACATAAAACGTTGAATCGCTCGGGCACATCTTTGGCAAAAAATAAAGAAGCGAATAATAAATGAGACGTGTGTGCTGGAAGTGTGCAGGGGACAGCTTTTATCTTTTTGTAACATTATTCAGATCAGCAGCAGCCGGCAGCCGAAACCTGAGAGCTTTGGAGACTCGGTTATAAATAATGGAGAGCTGACAGAGCGATCAAAGGCTCAGCGGCACTATCAGTCCTGTTCAGACCCTTCATGTTTATTTCATCCTCACCCAGCACAACGATTTCATTACGACTGAAATATGTTTTACTTCCATACTGAGGCTATCATTTTAGAAGGATTACCTTTCAAAAGTCTTCATTCTCCTTGAAAAGACAGTGTATTTTAACAAGGATTTTATGTGCGTGAATCAAAACTAAGTTGTGTGTAACAGACACAATAAGCTTTGATTTAGACCAGGGTTTTCAACCCACAGGGGGCGCCAGAGTTCTACATGTACGGTGCAACATGAGAGGAAGAAAAAAGAACAAAAAGTAACTACAGACAATATCAACAAGCTTATGCCAGAGACAAAATGGATGTTTTTTATTACCTAGAGCTGCAGTGAGTGAGGAGACAAAGTCTGAGCCAACAAAGTAACTAAATAAAATAAAAAAGAAGGATATTTGATTATTTAAAGCTTGGATTTTCGTAGTCTGGATCTGGAAATGCTCAATCTAATACAACTTTAAGAAATCTTGTTAACAAGCACAGTGTTTGAAATCTATTAAGGAAGAAACAGAAGTGTATTACTACAACAAAAAGTTTACTGAAACTAGAGCAGGAGTAGCGGTTTGGGGCTGATGAGTCGCCGCCGTTTTCCGTGTCCTTGATCTAGACGACTCCATTGTACCTCTGGCTGTGTTTTTAAAGTCACTGAGCTGACAGAAAATGAACTTTTGCTTTTTTCTCTCTCTTAATATTCTTCTCCAGCATTCCTTCCTAATCTACACGACCACATTTCCAGAGTCTCTGATCCACCTAAAATTGACTGATTTACCCTTCTTGTAATTCTTCATCTACTTATTAAGAACTTCTTTTGTCTGTTTGCTTAATGTGATTATTTGTTATAAAGCATTGTGAGTTATCCTGAACTGTATTAAAATTGATCTGATCTGATTGCTCCAACTCTTCCCATCATCACCCTTTCGCTCAATTATTCGATTAGAGTCAGGACTTGGGCTCTGTCACTTTAAATCATTATTACTTTAAGTCAAAAGAAACAAGTTGGTAAAATGCAAAAATTTCTTACAAACGAAAGTTGACATTTTTTCCACGTTTGCTTACCTCAGTGTGTCTTTGATGAAGAGCGTTGTACTCCCTCTTCAGTTCTGCTTCTCTCTCTTCAAATCTGCTTACTAAGAGAACAGGGGGGATATAAACATAGTGATTATAGTAAATATAAACCAGATTTAATGATGTGAAACATTTTTTTTTAATAGTTTTCACATGCAGGATTCAGTGCAGTAATTGTGTGATTCACTGTAATAGCAACGCGTTCCCAGCAGAGGGCAACAGTGGACCACAAACGTTCTTGAACTTTATTAGAACATGAGCAGCACGTTTTCTGAATGGACTAAGAGTTGTTTACATACATCATGTCCTTCTGTCAACCTTCACAAGATTCAGATTTGATTACATTTACATTTTACATCCGAGTTTGTACCCCAGACTCCTCAGCTTCTTCGTTTTCTTGTGAAAACCCCTCAACTGAGGACACTGGTGTCACATTTTCAATTTTGTTTTGTAAAATCCAGTAGAAAGTTTACAGATTCCTCTGCTGATCTTGCTTATTTTAAGGGGAATAGTTATTATTATTCACATACAGTTTTACTAAAACACTGTCCCAGGGGATCATCAGAGCTTGCTGAATGGCTTATTCGCAGCATCTTGAGCAGAGCGCAGTTTAGGTTGAACAAAGCAGACGTTTGGTTCTGAAAGCATCAGCTGGAGTTACAGAAACTGAAATTCTGCACGGTTTTGAGGAAGTGGGTGGAAAATAGAACTGAGAAAAAAAACAAACTGATCCTAAATATAAAGGTGTGTAGAAGAAAGTGACCCCAGAAAAGCCCCCACATGCAAAGCAGGTGCGACAGCCAACACATTACAGCGAACTCGAAAGTGGCATTTAATTTAGCTGATTTTTGTTTGCGGAAAAAAGCTATAAAAAGTTAAAGTTCCACCAGGGGTACTATTATATATTTTCCAGACACATAGTTCCATTTCATAGCACAATCAAAAGTTGTTATAGAAATGCTGCATACCAAAAACATGTCATGAAAGAAATGTGACGCCTTGAAATTGGGCCTCTGTCACTTTAAGAAGCTTCTGCTCTTTCTGACACTCCGCCTTCAGAACGTTATCGCAACAATGTTTCTCCTTTAACTCTTAAAAAGCATTTTTACCAGCGTGGCACTGAGAAGTTGCTCGTACGTGCGGTTCCACCAGTTGTTTGCTAATTGCTAGTCCACTCCTTGTTCAGATTTAATTAGTCAAAAATATTTTAGATTTTGACCTAGAAATGACTGAATGACAGATTCATTGAAAAAAGATAAACGAGCAAAAACTCACCAACTACTTCAAATTAAGACTTTCAGCAATAGTTCACACTGACAAAAACCCTCCTTTCCTTCCAACCTTGGTATTTTTTCCATGATTAAAGCAAAGACTCATCATCTCCAGCTGAATGATTAATAGTCGGTGTTACAAATGACAGCATACTGTGGAAGCAGTGGCTCAAGCCTTTTCAAGGAGTATCCCGAGGTAGACAAGGAGGTGTTGGGCGATGAATCAGAGGCACGACAGTCTGACTTAATCTGTTTGTGTCAATCTGTATTTAGGCTGGGCACTGTTCAGCAACACAGACGGAGCAGCTTAGAGTAGTCAAAATGAATCCATGTAAGGCCTGTTTATCTGCTCAGAACATACAAACCTTAACTAGAGATTTAAATAGATTTAAATAGATATTGTTGGGGGGGGGGAAAAGGAAGTATCACATCAGAAGAAATGAAAAGCTAAATTTCCCCTTTAGCAAAACACTGCCAGCCAAATGTGGTCAAGCAAATGTCATCAACGGTGCGGTTATGCATCATGAGGGCTGGGGTTTTGTTTTTTTATGTAGTTATGATGTTTTTGTTGAAAACACCATAACTACATTATCCTTTATCTTCAACTTATACGATTTTCTGCTTCAGAAATAGTCACTGATAAACACTACTTGTAAAAGAATCAGTCACATGACAGCAGCCACTGTTTAAAGAGTCAAGATGTCATTAGGAAGAAAATGTAAAAGGTCTCAGAAACCAATTGTTTAAAAGCAGTGATGGGACCTTGATGAATGTTTCAGGTCATCTGGTAAAAGCCAGTCAAAGCTACCAGGGCTGCATCTAAAGCCTGCAGGATGCTAGATTTCAAGGGCTAGCATTGGAAACCCCTGCTGTACTAGAACTAGAGACCAGATAGTTTGTATTTTCTCAGTCAAGCTTACCTCCACTTGATTGCTGTGGACTGGGAACATGCTTCAGTTCCACTGGGCTTACACAAGCTGGGTGAACAAATATTGTGACAGCATGGCCTAAACCAGATAGAGAAGCAGTGGACTTACTCTGATCTGCATAGTTCTTTGTCCTTAGCTCTAGCTGCCGGGCGTGGGACTCCGAAGTTACCAGTCGAGACTGGAGGTCCTTTTTCTCTCCATCTTGGGAGTCTTCTAAGGCAATGTATCTCTGCAGGAGAAAAAAAAACAACACAGCAGAGGTAGACATTTAGCATTTTACACCGACAGGTACTGATGGACCCTCTGACCTTCCTGTGGCAGACTGGGTGATTAGTTGAGGAAGGCATCAAGAGGCACAAGAGAGACTGAGAGTTGGGAGCTTTCAGTATCTCTTTGACGGTCTGGTGGAGGTAAGCTTTGAGGGATATTGAAAATACCTTCATATTTTGAAGATACATTGGAGTATGTCACGTTTGTGTGTAGCGGGGCTGTTGTGATACTCGGGGTGTTTTCACACCTGTAGTCCTGTAGGCTCTGTTCGATTGGGGGGGCAAACCTGGTGCGGTTCCAAACTGTGTTGTCAAACAACTCAAACTCTGGCGCTGACCCAAGAACTACCAAAGGAAACAACACAGAAACCTCTGAAGAAGACACTGAGCACAACTTCCTTCTTCACAAAATACGGACTTAATTGAGTAATGTTGCTTTCTTGTACAGCCATAAAAGCATTTGGAAGAGGTCACAACCTTTAGAAAAAGACGCTCCTTGGATCCAGCTATGTGGTTAATTGGGAAAAAAGTGTCTTTTTTTTTTACACGGATCTCGTCCAAACTAAATATTTTCGAGGTGGAAAAAGAGCTGTGTTCCGTCCAAATACGTTCTGCAGTAATCCTGTTAAGCTACCGTGTTTCAATCTTAAAATTAAATTCGAATTTCAGAATTGCGAAAACATGTTTAATGCGTTACGACACATAAAACACAGTTTCCGTTTTACTCCGACTGGTTCAGGTCAACTTCTTTTTGATGACAGCATTGCAGAGTGATTGGCTTCAGGTTCGCAAATCAACAATGTCGAGAACGTTTTGGACGTTTCTGTTCGCAGGAGAACTTACTGACAGAACGTAGGTTTTCTTCATTGTTGTTTCTGTGGCTATTTAGTCGTCGGGTTTTTGACAGAAGAGCTGAGTGAAAAGGAGATGAAATGACATTTTTAACTGGTGTTGTACGGGTTAAATCTGACTCTTGTTTGGCGAGTTTGTGTCGATGGATCATCTGATAAGCTGAGTCAGGTGTCTGCAGCTTCGCCTGTAAACGGAGTCTTGTGATGCGGGTGGTCTCTGTGGACAAGAAGCCCTGCAGTCTGTGCGCTGAGTCAGCAGTTATCACCTGGGCATCGGATAACAAAGCAGATCCTTCTTTATGTGCCCAACAAACGCGCACGCACGAACACACAGACGTTTCACATGGACGTGCTCAGTGAATTGTCTTATTTAAGGAATGGTCTAGAAAACATGACTCATCCCAAGGGCGCACAAACTATTTTCTGTGGAGGGACTTAGAGTTTGAAGTCTTGAAAAGTTCAGCTTCTGGCCTAGAAGGGTGTTTGAAGGGACAGTTACAGCGTAAACTTCAGACATGAGGCGTTACGCAAAAGTATTCACACTCGCCAAATCAAAATGTGTCACTTTGTAATAGCTGGCGTCAACGTAGTTCCATTGACACTCAAATTCATCCAGACAGCATGGAGAGCTTCTTAACTGGATTTAGCTGTGGACTTTGGTTAGACCATTCTGGTAAATATATATAGATTTCATTCAGGGGCATCGGTGTGAAAGGGGCTGGACATAAATGCATGCCACACTTATCAGTGAAACATTTTCTTTCACTTCACAATTAGGTGTTGCTTTGTCACATAAAATATCAACAAGATACATTGAAAATAGTTCTGTATTTTTAACATTACACGCCCAGTTAAATCTACTAAGAGTGTTATAATAACATTTTGAAAATGACTAAACATAAGAAGAGTTTTTGATGGTTGAAATTGTGAGTAGGGTTTGGCAATAAATTGATTTTATCAATTAATTGTGGAAAAATCAAGATTTCACTTTTTTCCCCCCAAGGTTCAGAGTGATGTTAGCCTACACAAGAACTACCATCTCTTTCTGACAAAAGTGTTTTACAGATATTTGCTCTGACTTTGACAAACCACAGAAGGAATGAAGGAAAAAATATATTTTCTGTCATTTGTATTTTTTAAGGAAAAAAGTAGGGGCGGTATTTAAAACTGGAAATTGAATATTGGATTAAAAAAAAGAAAAAAATATATTTTCTTCACCCATATTATGCAGCCTTAGCTTGAACAAACCCCAATAACTTCACAAGAAAATATAAATACAATAGTGATACCATAAGCATTAAATATGGTTTATTACTGCCACACTCCCAGCATCGACACAGTCATCAGGCCAGCTCTGACTCGCTGCTCAAAGACCACGCTGCTCCTCATATGACCCAAGAAAAGGGCTGGTGTGTGTGTATCTGTGTGTGTATGTGACTGCGCTCCAGAGAATAAGTGTTCCACCGTTTTAGCATCCTCTCTTCCCCCCAACACTGCATGTATAATGCTCTCTTTGTCCCCCAGCACCACCACACACTCACAAACACACACGCGCCCACGCCACACACACACACACACACACGCCCTTCCAGGACAAGTGTGTGAACTCCCGCACAGACAGGGCTCCACTGTATCGGCACTCAATTGACAGAGAGTGAAATCAGCTTCTTTCAGGGAGTTTGGCTGCAGATCGCTGCTGGGACTTTCGCGGTAGCTTGGAGTGGGAGGTCTCTGACATCTGAACCAATAAACTGACAACACTGCACGCCTCTTTACTGGTTTCACTGTCGCAGGATGCAGAAATGAGACATGGGGAAAAAAAAAAAAAAAAGAGGTGAACACCACCTGGTCTAAGGGGAAGATGCTAGAAAGTGGTCCAGCATTCTGAGGGAAAACAGGGTTTCTCCTTCGTGGAATTGATGATGGCGCACTGTCACAGAAAAATAAAAGCCACACAAGGTTTCCCCAAGAAAACGTGCGAAGCCCGGTGGGTAGGAACTAGAGCTGTCATTTGTCCAGCGGCCCGTCGTGTTTTTGAGTTAAAAAATTTTGAAAGTTGACAGGAAATTTGAAAATATCCCTCCATAATTATGTGTTATTGAAAGATTAGAAGGTCAATACCTGAACGCCAACATTTTTAAACAACTTTAATAAATAAGCAATGCTAAGCCTGGTGGGGGCACCAGTAAAGCCTGGTGCCCCGCCAGGCTTATGATACACTGGGGGGAAACTCTGCCACCACATCTTCAGATGAGTTATAGAAGGGACAGAAGCTACTGCTTCAACCAGATCGCAACAGACAAATACATAACTTCATTTTATTTAATTTTTTTCTAAAGCCCCTGAATCTTGTCTGGTGGATGTGAGAGAGTACATATTAACTCGACTTGTATGAAAAATAATCCAACATTAGAGAAATTGGGTGATTTTAGACTTCTCCATCAGCTGTATGCTGCAGAACTTATCCAGCTTTGGTAAGAACCTATTTTACAGAATAAATTATTCTGCAAATTTGTCAGTCGCATCCAATGTCCATTTATCCGAGGTTGTGTTCTAGTTGGAACTAGAACATAACCTTATTACTTCGAAAACAAACATCTGAAACTGTTGTGATAATCCAATAATCCTAATGCAATATTTTCTAACAAATAAAAGATGAGTTTGCTTGTGGTTCTGAAACTAGAGAATTACATTATGCTCAATTGATATTTACTGGCTGCCTAAATTGAAGCAACGAGCCCAGGTTGAACTGGAAGAATTTTTGAGACAGCGCGGACACATGCAATAGTGGGTGCCGATATAACTGACACTATATACAATATCAGGCTCAAAAGAGTGACTCTATAGAATAGAATATTACAAAATAACTCATTAATGTTCGTTCAGTCTACGTTAAACGTTTGCTGTTCGTTAAACTGCTTATACGCAATTGTCAGTGACGTTACATGTCAAATCATGCAGTGTGGTAAATCCGTATGTCCAATCTGTGCTACATGCTAAGATGCTGTTTCAGTTCAGGTCGTCGCAGCAGAGATCTTGGCGAATCCGTTTTGATCAAGTCTAACTGAAATTTCTGCCGAAAGGCCACAGAAACTAACAGCCAGAGTAAAGTTGCGTGCTACACCGAGATAAATATTTTTAATTTGGTTCAATCTGTCCTTCATAAAAAGATACAGCGCATAAAAACCTCAGTTACTGCTACGCTGTGCTCGTCTCAAGCCCCTAATAACATTAATCCGCCTGTCTAAAGTTTAAGCAGACTGCAATGAACGGTTATCAATCAGATGACATTACACAGAAAAGAACGCAGTCTTTTATGAGCCGACTAAAGGCCTCAGGGAAGTTCTGTTTTTCCTTAAGAATTTCCTGCCGAGCCTTTTCCTCTCCTCCACTGAAACAAATCGGTCAGGAGACATCGTCCTCTGGCAGGGAGCAGCAGCAGCGTTTGGCCAATAAACTGTTCGGTCGGTAGGATTAATCGGCTGCAGGGAGCTTTTCTTCAGTAGTGACAAAAAAAAAAAAACTACAACAAAAACGCTGCTCAGAGTTGCCAGGGAATCAGTAAAAGACTTGAAGTCGGTAGCTGAGTTTAAAGCCAGTCTGATTCTGGGATGCTGAATACAAAAAGTGTGAAATGTGTTTCTATGTTTTATTTGTTAAGGTAACGAAAGCCATGCCTCAAACTGCTGGCAACACTATGTGTTGCCCTTGTGTCAAAGTGTTAAGCATTTTTGTGCAGGTTTTAGGTTGTTACCTCTGCAGCCTGTTTGCAGAGATGATCAGAGGCAGCAGAAGTTCAGTGAACGCTCCATTTCTGTCAGCAGAGCTGAAAGTGAAGCTCATGAGGAAGTACAATGAAATGGGAACTTCTTCTCCGATACACTCATCATCGCATCATTGGCTAAAAAAACAACTGAAAAACTACAGAAGGGTTTTATGTGGGCGGTAGCTTGGGATGATTTCACTTTAAAGACATTGATTACACAAACGTATTTGGAAATAAAGTTGGTAAGATGACCAGCGGCCCTGCCCTCTTAATTCCCTTATAATCCGATATTTAATAATGAGTCACTGTCGTGCCAGGTCAACCCTTACTTCAATATGGAGAAGAACAATTAGTGCTGCAGATTTGAGCTTTGCTAACTTTCATATTCTAACATTTTATACTGATGAATTAAAGTAAACGAAGTTCCCCGATTGTCTCCAACTCATCTTCTGCATGCAGATCGTCCAGAAAATGAGATTTTATGTGGTACATTACAGATGAGCTGAGAAACTGTACCAGTCCTGAGGGGCCACCAGCCGGTCAGAAACTCAAAAATCCTATCCTTTTCCAGTCCGCAAACACACCACACGCGAATGCTAACAGTTTGTACAAGACACAATCTGAAAGAAAGACTTGACGTCAGCATCGTCAGTTTCAGTGAGCTCAAGTTATATTGAGCACAAACGGTGTAAGAACAAGATGTACTTTTCACAAATACATGACGGCTTTTCATTTAAGCTGCTACCTTGAATTCAGGAGACAAGAAAAATGAATGTCTTAAATGAGAAGCTGGAGTTTTCATTCTTTTGAGCTTTCAATAATCAAACAGAAAAAACCAATTGATGCCTTTAATCAGAAATGATCCTATTTATGCTCTCCTTTCATCTTAACCTCCAATCAACATAATAACCAACAGAGCTACTTTAATTAAAGGTAATGGATTTCACATCTAAACCTGAGAGGAAAACATTTCCTCGCTGGTGGAAAACTCCCACATGTACAGGTCTGTCTAACAGCTGCACCAACATGTTACAACATGAAATACATTATGAAGAAACTACTGTGTGGCGTATCGCGCTTGGTATTCAACAATCAAGTGTTACTGCAAAACACAACAAAACAACGACTCTTGAATATCCATAAAGCGCTGGCTGTGGAAACTCGTCAAATTGACTTAAAAGAAAGAAAAAGTTAATGGTTTAAGTGGAAACACAGATTTGTTAGAACAAAGCCATTTGATTGAGTTCAAATAGAACAAAGTCCAGATTTGATGACTGTTAAAGGTTTACCACAAGCTATCATCTGAGTTTTAGAGCTTTTTAAATAAAAACAGAACCTTAAAGGAATACTTTCTAATGAAAAGATGTTCGAGTCAATAAATTGTTAGATTATAGACTATGGTCAGTTTCCAGGCTCAAGATGCTTCGCGGTTTGCAACATCTGTGATTTCAAAACTAAACAAAACAGACAAACCAAAATAACTTTCCATCGTAGTTTCTACAGAGTGAATTCTTCATAATGTGGGTTTTTTCCCCCGACTGCAAAAATCGAAGAGTTGTGCTCCACCTGCTCGCTCTGTTCAGTCGGCTGGTTGAAGGAGTCGCATTCTGTTAATACTCTCATTCCAACTGAACAAATAATATCGTCCGTCGACTCCCGATTTTTGTCCAGGAATCCAAAATAATCATATTACAGTTGCAATGATGAAAATATTCCATCTTTTAGCAACTTTATTCTTTCATTAAAAAAAAAACTAACAAGCAATGCTGTCCAATTTTTAAAATGTTTATTTAAATACTGCAATATTCTGGATATGTTTGCTCAAGGTGATAAATTCATATTTGAAATCACCAATTTAGTAATCAATTAATTGTTCAGCTAACAAAAGACATTTTCTGGAAGAACAAGATATTTTGAGCCAAAATTGAACAAAAAACTATATTTACATTGTGAATTTAAGATAAAAATGTTTAAACTTTTGTCTGTGAAAATGTTCTAGAATCCCTGAAGCGGCACCTGGTTAGCATACAGGAAAGGAACACATTTTAGACAATAATTTAAATAAATTATTATTATTTAAAGAGGGAATTTAAATATTTTCATTTTTAATGCGTTTCTAATATTGTATCAAATAAATCTACCTGATTACATTAACAATCTAAAGAATCTGCCCCTTTTTTTTTAATTCAAACAGTCGATTAATAGTCAAAAAAATCAATTACTAAAATAATCGCTAGCTGCAGCTCAAAATAACGCCACTTGATGCTGCAGATGTCTTGCAACCCGATCTCTCTGACAATTATATCACCCTGTATCATCATTACAAAGTCGCTGTGTGGATAACATGGAGGGCCAGCTGAGCATCTGTCAATTAGTAATCTGATGTGGTGGAAACCCTGAAGCCTGCTGAGCCGTGGCCAGCAGGTAGTCAGGCGATCCGAACCAGTTCAGGTGGAAATGAACCGTTTGTGCGCTTCAGATTTTAAAACTCTGAAACTGTTGCTCTGGGGATTTGCGGCGAATCGCTTTTAAGGAGTTCACTGAATGAAAGCTGGGACAATTTTTATAGTGCTGGAACCGTGCAGTAAAGATCAGGACTGAAGTCTCACAGTGTGTCTCCATGCAGCCATAAAGAGTCTCTGTATCCAATATAATCATAACTTTGCTAATTGGGACCAATTTCTTGGCGGTTTCTCCCATTAACTCCAAGATAAAGACACCATCTATGAAAAAGGCAGGAGCACAAACTGAAACTTTCGATTCGTTTACGTCACCAAAGACGTTAGATGGAACGTCCCAACTAGCTGCGTTTCCACTGACAACGTAATTTGAAATTTCGCAAATAAAATTGCTTAATGGAAACACTCAAATTTAAAACGTTTTGGCCGTGTTTCTTTTCTTTTATATTAGCGGAACATAGACAAAGTTTTGCACACATTTGCAATGGAAATGCATCTTATGGTGCATAATAAGGGTCAGAATTCAGATTTTAAGGTGAGGTTTGATTCATTTCAATCAGGAGAAACTAAAAATAAAATAAAAAAATTTAAAATGCATGTTCTTTCTATTTGCGACAACGAACAATACACAAAAATAAATTGATGCTTTCAAAAAGCGACTATTGCAGAAGTTTGGCTTGATTTCGTAAAATGACAAAATCACTGATAAAAACGAATGTCATGGTTGCGTGACAATTAAACCACTTGAAATGAGTCAGAGTTCTTCTGAAACGTTTAAATACACTGTTCAGACATTTGTTTGTAAAAAGACTCATCAAAAATCTTGAATATGGACAGCACAACCGCATCTTGCTGGAAAGCAGCCAGTCGGATTTGGACTCCTCTCTGAATAACCGGCGATGTTTACATTCTGACTGACGTGGTTTAAGGCGAGTAATCCCACTCCGTCGCAGACCAAACTGTGACTCTCATCGCCGTCTAAAAACATCTGTTTGGCTCACGGGACAGCAGCAGAGGTCAATACATTTGAAAAAAAAAATTTTAGATCGCAAGAACTCTAAATGTTAGTCATCCACATGGCTTTAGAGTTCTCAGGCGACGCCCACAGAGGCATGCTGGAGGCTGCCTGAGCAGCAAAACTTGTGACAACACGGCCTGGTGTCTGTCAAACGGCGACAGTCCACAGGATGGAGACACACAGGGGTCTGCTACAGTTTCAGGAAGCTGACCTCAGTTCACTACGTCAGCCATGTTGCTTTTCCCCCGATTACACATGCTAAAGTCTGACTGCAGGTCAACCAGATGAAATAAAATAAATTGGTATTGAATTCTGGCTATCAGATATCTATTTGTGGAACATGTCAATGAAACAGTGCTGTGTCACTCTTAAATCTGTCAGAGCATTCATCCATGTGTAACAGGGGGTGTCAAACCCATTTCTGTTTTGGGTCAAATCAGGACCCTGAATGTTCTTAAAGAGCCAGAATGTATCAATAAAACCTATTCAACTGTTAAAATATTAACAAATAGCTGTCTTTGCAGTTTAAGTTTAAGCAGCTCCTAAAATTACACATCTTTTCACATTTCAGTCCCTCTTTGATTTTGTGATTTTTTTTAGGGATATGTGGGACATTTGTGTGACAAAAGCCTAACTCACAGTTAGGCATAAGTGAGAATAAAAATGTGAGAATCTGTTGATTTTGACATGACTTTCCACAACCACAAGAAACTGCGAGGACCGGTTGATGTAATTTGGCACAAGAAACTTTACGCGGGCCAGATTTGGCCCCCGGACCTCGAGTTTGACACATGTGACGCATAATGTCAAATAATGATGACCTCAGTTGGCATGCAGTTTGCGTCTGAAAACCATCCAATGTGGCTGAATTCAAACATTTGCACAGGTCAATAGTTTTTTTCTTCTCCAGAACAAATTTTCAGTGTCTGATATCTCTAACTTTGTTTCAGGATCACAAAGCAAAAGTGCGACTTTCACTATAGAGTGAAAGGCAGCAGAAACTAAAGCTGCACCAGTTCATACAACAAGACGTCAAATCGCGTGATCAGATCAGATGCAACAGGTCGTGACAATAACACTCTTCCGTGAGGAAGCCGTTACTGAGATGTAGAGAACTATACCTTTAAGTGAGCTAAAGTGTTATGTTATTTTCATAATTAAGAAATTAATTACAGCTACATTTCTCAATCCTGTTCTCCAACACCACAGCTGCTGTAATCTGAGATTACAGCAGCTTTTTCTGTGACTTTTAGACCACGCTCTGGACTTTGCTGTGGCAGCAGCAGAAAATCTATGATTTCATGTTGGTTGGGTTGTTTGGGTTCCTGGCCTTCACTGATGGCTATGAACCACCATAACGCCACAAGACACACACCTACGATCTGATAGGCTGTGAAGCTTTAATATGGCCTTAATAAAACAACCAATGATAAAACAGCTGCACATCATTTTCACAAGAGAATGATGCATTTATTTTATGTTATGTTCAAACAGGCTGCCTAAGAAACTGGTTTGCAACAGTTTGAAGTTGCGTCGTTTTACTCGCGCCTGTCATTGAGAAAACTTCCACCCTGCTGAACTGAAATTGTGTAAACAAGACGATCCAATTAGAGACAAATGTTTCTGATTGCCAAACATACACAGTCAAAACAATCACAATGTGATTTTATGGATGGGGGAGAGAGAGAGAGAGAGATAACGCCAGAGGAAGGCATTCATCTTTCTACGCCAAACTGCATAATCGCAGTCTTTTAATCCGTAATCCCGGTGGTTGAATTGGCGCGGCGGCGTCGCGGGTACAAAACCCACCTCCTCCGCGTGTTTCCTCAGCGCTTTCTCCCGCTCGTACTGCGTGACGAGCTGCTCGTTGTCCTCCTTCAGCAGCTCCAGCTCCACGACGTGCTCCTTGTTGGCGGCGAACACCGAGTCCAGGTTCTCCAGCAGCCCGACGACCAGCGGCATCAGCTCCTTCACCACGTCCTCGTCGTACCTCTCGATGAGCCGCTCGAACTCCCGGTAGATGGAGCTGGCCAGACCGGCGACCCGCTCGGACATCACGTCCGAGTCGCCCGAGTCGTCCTGGTAGAGGACCACGTCGTCCAGCTCCATGTTTGTTAGTTTGTTGTTTCTTTTAACCCTCCAAGCCTCCACTTCTTTCCCAGCTAATGTTATGGAGCTAGCCACAAGCTTGCTGACCGGAGGCAGCTCGCTTTTATACTTTAAGCGCAACGATACAAGTGTTTCCCCCCCATACACCCACTATAACATGGCTACAAAGTTGTTTCCTGCCTGGGGGAGACGTTGTCGGTCACAAACAAAGTCCCTACCCCCGTTTTCGTAGCGGCGGCTGACTTAGGAGCCGTGCTAGCCTTTTAGCTCGCGGTGTTGAAAAGTCTTTACTTGGCTCCTGATTAGTTTCCCTGTCCAACAGATGAGCTCCCTGCTGCGGCGTTCACGTGCTGTCGGGATATGTGGGAATCCACAGAGCCAAACTTTCAGCAAAGCAGAGAAAGTGCACAAAATACTGAACTGCCTTAGCCAACCGTCACGGATACGACTAAAATTATTTTCTATTTTAATACTTTTTATATATATATATAGCCTGGTGATGCTGAAGTGACGTCTGGAAGGCGGGGAGAAAAGTACGTTAAAAAAAATCACAGCCGTGGGATCAAGAAGTTCAAGATATTTTCAAACATTTCTGCTGATTTTTACATTAAATTCAGGTCGCAGTACAATTATGCCATATATTTCAGTCGATGTCCTAGCTTAGTTCTAGCCTATATTGAGACAAGAGTGGGTGTATTTTTAACTGCTTAACTTTCGAGCACTGCTGTTTACGTCGTCCGTTTTGAAATAGGGATTTCCCAGTATCCCTTGAACATACATGCTGGTGACTGAACGCTGTCATGATGTGACGTGCTGAAGTGCACAGGGTGGGTTATTTATTTATTTATTTTTATTCCGGAAAATAATTATAGTGAGCTGCAAGGGTATTCAAACCTCAGGAGCTATATATATATATATATATATATATATATATATATATATATATATATAATATATATATATATATATATATATATAAAATTATACTTTAACCTTTTTTAAATAAATAAAAAAACAAAACAAATCTGAAAAAGTACAATGTATTTGCATTCACCCCCACTCTCAGCACTGTGCAGCCTCTGTACAATTTTTCTTCTTCCAAGACTTCAAGGACTGAATACTGAGACTTGAAACAAGCAAATTGTGTATACTTCACAAATGCGTTTATTTTCTTTTAGCTTCCAAATGCATTCCTACGAGGATATGAACTTTTTTTTTCTTGAAAAAGAATGGCAACATCCATAGCAAGCAGGTCAATTCCACACAGAAAAGCACAATCTTTAAACTTTTCACTTTCAGGTCATGTTCGAGTTTAAGCCAACTGTATTTCTGAACTTTACTTAGTGTGTTTGGGTTTCATTTTTTTTCATATGATGCATAGGCACTGTTCACCCTGACATTTCAAAACATAAAAAAAAATAAAATAAAATCACAAGACATTCCTATCTACAGTTCACAAACACAACAACATGAATACCCTCTTTTTTTTTTTTCACTCCACCTTCCAATCAGAAAGCTCCAAAGTCACCCTGGGCGACAAGTCAATCTTCATCGTAGCCATTCAAACGACACAAAATCCAAAAACACTGACATTACAGTTGGAATGCTCCACTCTGTTACATTGTACGCACAACATTCAAATATGATTTACAGTCGCTCATGGAGCAACTTCAAATAAAGCAAAAAAAAAAAAAAAGATTCTTGCATTAAATAATTTAAAAAAAAAAAGTGCATGACTCTGTGCTTCTATGAGTTTTCTTTTTACAAATCAGGCAAAGCTCCGCAGATTCAAATCTCCCATCAGAATCCAAATCCAATGATTGAACAATTTAGAAGCTCAATAACACAGGAACTTGACCAAACGGTATTAAGTAGTAGCAGGGGATCGCAGGTTGGGAAGTAGTGGGAACCTGGATCGGATGTAAACACGCAAGTAAAAGTCGTCTTGGAGCCGTGAAGAGGGCGTTCTTTTTTTTTTTTTGTGCACCTCACATAGAAATGTGAGGGTTGTTGCTTAGCGATGACGGGCAGAGGGAGAAGGGGCTGTCGCTGCACAGGCTGTTCAGGGCTCGGAGCACGGCGTCGGGCATGTGATCCGCCAGCATCCTCGGGCTGATCAAGATGCTCCGGAACGCCGCTTCACTGGACCAGTCGGCACGGTACCGAACCTGGGAGAAGCAGGATCTGTGGAAACGAAAACAAAAGAAGAACAAGTTGGTGTAAACGGTGAAGCTTTTTTTCTTTTCTTTTTTTTTTTTTTAAAAGTTGTGCTGTGACGCAGGAACAAGACGTGTTCATATGACTGTCAGCATCTCTAATCATCCGAGGCTGGAAGCTCCGCTGGAGACAACAAAGAAGCAAAAGACAAACCGGGGCTTTGATAAGCAAACATTTGGACAAAGCGGAGCATTCAATGTACGGGGTTTCTGTGGGCTTCACCAATTAAAATGTACGACTTTTTAAGACAGCTATAAATGGAATCTCCATTCTGCACTTATTTTGTGGGAAAGTTTTATGAGTTAGACCAAAACAAAGTACATTGTAATTGGTAACTGGTCGAAAAACTGCATGTTTGCACATCCGGAGGCGGTGACTGCTTTTTGATCTCATTCACTAACCAGAACTGGGACGCAAGTCCATTTCAACCGCATTAGCTTGTGTTATCTTAAGTTCAAGCACCGAAAGCAGTTCAAATGAAATCAGCCGGAGCTGATTTCATCAAGAAGAAAGATAGAACAAAGGTGTCAGCTGAGAAGGAAATGATGTCATCTGAGGTGTCAGCTGATGTGTAAAGTACGTCCTGATATGTGAGCGAATCAAAATATCAACAACAGAACTACTGCGGTTTGAGACGAATTTAAATTTTTGGTGCCATGATGTGAGTGTTTGGCAGGGTATTATGTCACATATCAAAATAAGTATTCAAACCCACTGGGCTTTTTTCCATGCCGTCTCATCAAAACCACAAACCTCTGCACCTTATCTGTCAGATAGACACAGAGTGCTGCTAAATACCAGAATGGATAATAGTGATGAAATGATTTATCTGATTAATCGACTCCTGAAACAAAGGTCAACTATTTCAGTACTCAATTAATCGTTAATTTGGTGTTCTGCTAAAAGAACAACATTATCAGAGCAGCAATTAAGCCAAAACTATACAAAAAATTGATAACAGTTTGCATTGAAGATAGAGAAAAAAACATTTCTGGAAATATTTCTTACCCAAAACTCCTCAGGTAGCATAGTTAAAGCTTCACTTTGTTCAAATTGCAAAAAAAATTCCTGTTGAGCATATTTTTCTGTCCAATTCTTAATAACAACTACTACACTATATTGATGAGTCAAACAGAGCTTTTACAATTTGATGTTAAAAGTATTTTCATAGCTGCAGATGAATCCTTCGCTGCAAATGATCAAATGTTCACTACAGGAAAGCTGTGAAAAACGTTTCCTGTTATTTTCTTACTTTATAAAGGAGCTGAATTGTTTCTTTGCACTTAAGGAGTTTTTAATGTTGCCTAAAAAAGCTTAGAAGAAAAACCTGCAGAATATGGCAATTTATTTTTACCCGATTGATCTCTGAGTGAACGATTAATCAATAACTGAAATAATCGTTAGTGGCAGCAAGCAGAAACCGACCTCCGCGACGGCCCGTCCTCCGTGATGTACAGTATGCGCCCCGGCGGGAAGAGCGGCAAGTGCGCGGCGGTGTGGGCGGGGGAGTCGTCCGACGCCAGGCTCTGATAGGACGACGAATGGCGGATCACCAGCGACTCCTCCCCCAGCAGCGGCTGGCTGAGCTGCTCCTCCCTTCTGCTGTCCATCTCGGTGGGAAAATCGTCCGGGTCCCCTCCGAACAGTTCGTACCAGCAGCCCTGCAGCAGGATGCGGTACTGCAACACAAAGACAGCGGCTTCAGTCACGGCCAGATTGGATTCGGGGCACAGAAACGCGCGACTGCACCGAGACTCACTTTGGGCTTATTGCAGTTTGTGACTATTTTCAGGATCCGTCTCTTCAGGTCCTCCATGTTGGGGATGCTCAGTCTGTAAAACAGGAACAGCCATTGATACCATCACGAAGTCCAGCAGAACACAACAGCAGACAATACAAGGTTTGTACACGTTTCCCACAGCAAAGTTCTTGAGCACTTCAGAAGCATTCTCAAAGTAAGTTTTCAAACTTTTCCACACTTTGGATATTAAAAAAAAAATACAAATGAACAAAAAAGGCAGTTTCAATTCACTCTCATATATAATTTATTAGTTTCTGATCATGTTTTGTGCTAGTATTCTGTAGGGACAAGGGAAATACAGCAAAATGTTATTTTTTGGACATTTTCTCTCTCGCAGGCATGACTGAACAAAACACTAATTTAAACAAAACTCCCCTGATTTCAATAACTTTGGTTAAAGTGCAAGGTAGGTATAAACTACACAGATCAATAACATCCGTGAGCCATTAGGGTTCCTGTTTTAATCAATCGTCAGATTGCACTTTATAACAAAGCTGTGCGCTTTGAATATCAAGCGCTTTCCAGGACTTTATTCAAAAGAAAAAAAAGCCTGGAAAACACCTAAATGAAATTCAAGCATCGTCAAGGACTTCAAGCACCTGCACGAACCCTGACGATAGTCATTTCTCACCTAGGAACCAGATCCTTCCCCAACACCACAGACACCACAAAGTCCTTGGAGTATTCAGCTAAGGCTTTACTGCACACACAAAATAAAACACATGTAAGTACGAACATCTGTGTCGGCAATAATCAATGTCTGTCCCCCAAAAGTTGAAGAAAACGAAGAATGAAGGGGTAGACTGAGTCCTGTGGAGTCGTGCTTTACCTCAGGAGGCCCCCTGGTGGTGAGAACGAGTAACACTGCAGGGTGGGGAAGGAAGTGCGCAGCAGGATGGCCAGCAGGGCGGCTGTGCCGGCCCCCAGACTGTGACCGGTGACCACCAGTTTATACTCCTGGAATTACAGCGACACACAAACACAGCGTTATCACAGATCCGTCCGGTCTGTCGAACAGATTATCATAAATGTTTTGGCTCGATGCATTCAGAGCCTTAATAAAATGAATCTTTCACAGTCTCATAAAATTAAATAGGAAAAAGGAAATATATGTGTTTTTTGGGGGGTGTGGGGTTGTAAAAACAAGCATTGAAAATGTAGAAAAACACTTTTGTTAAGTAAGTGGGAGGACCTGTGATGCGGCGGGCTTCACTGCTATAGGAATGGGAAAATATTGACTGTTTTTGATTCATGTCAAAAAATATATATTTAAGTTTTTACTGAGCAGCCTATAAAAAAAAAACTGATTTATTTTTACGTTTCCAGGGCTTTTGGAAGATCAACTGTCCCACATCACCGCAGGTCGTATACACGCCACCGGACATATTTGGAAAGTTGAGACAGA